CAAATATGGACAAATAAACAAAATACCCCTCAAACTAACATTGTCACACAAACCTCCCAAATGAGGAAAGAGGAACAAGAAAACACACAAATTAAACCAAGAGATACGATACCTGGCTCATATGCCATCGCTGCAACCACACAAAACGTACCTCCCGTAACCACCAGCACCCAACAAACTCAAAATGTCTTACCACCTCGAACAACCTCAAAACATCCTTCGAAAATCCCTCGAAAAATCCCACAAAATCCTTCAACAACATCAACAAACTCCACAACAATCACTTCAAAAAAAGACAATGAAAAGAAAGAAAATCCTTCTGTAACCACGAACTTTATAGCTACAGCAAATGATGATCAGATAATTGACTTTATATGTCAATTGATCCTCTCACTCACAGAGGGCAAAACTCTTAAAGAAATAAATAATTTAGTTCTGGTCGCAGCGAAAAGATCGCTGCAGCAAATAAGTAGTGCTAACAATGTTGATAACGATACTTAAAACATTGATGATACTGTTTTCCATACTACAATGGAATGCACAGGGATTACTAGGGCATGGAAAAGAACTTATAAAGTATTTGAACACACACAAACATTGCTATGATTTGATATGTATACAAGAATCATGGTTTCAGGAAAATAGAGTTCTTCAAATTCCTGAATACACATGTCTCCCAAGAAATAGGGAAAATCAGGCGAGGGGAGGATGTGCGATATACGTTCATAATAAAATCAAGTATGAAGGTCCAATGAATGATGTAAATTTAGAAATGCAGCAAGTAAACATACACGCAGGAAATGAAAAGTTATCAATTGTGAACTTTTATAATCCTTGTAAGAAATTAAATGAATATATTATGAATGTGCTATTAAAAGACGTTAATAAAAATGATAAAGTTATTATAGTAGGCGATTTTAACGCTCATGGTACCATGTGGGGAAGTGACAAAACAGACAAGAATGGACAAGTGATAGAACAATTCGTGAATCATCATAATCTAACTGTTTTGAATGATGGCGAAGGAACCAGACTGGATCCACGAACAGGAAAACTGTCATGCTTAGATTTATGTATAACCACTCCTTCACTGGCATGTAGAAGTACTTGGAGAGTCATGGAAAGCCTTTTTGGAAGTGATCACTTCCCAATAAATATCCAAACAACTTTAGACGGGAAAAGCTCTGAATATAAAGATGCTTCAATAAGAAGTGCAGATGATTTTATCTCCTTTAAACATATAAATTTGAAAAAATTTGCTAAGAAATGTGAAGAGATGATTACAAATGATCTCATACTTATAAATAATGATATACAGGAAATATATGATAATTTCATGAAATATTTAAAACTGTGTATAAAAGAAACTGTACCGAAAAGGAGAAATGTCTCTAAAAATCCGGTGCCTTGGTGGACCAAAGAATGTACAGAGAAAATCAAAGAGAGAAATAGAATGTGTAATAAGATGTCACGGAAAATAACTTTTGAAAAGGTAGATGAGTACTTAAAAAAGAAAGCAGAAGCACAGCGTGTGCTCCGCCAAGCAGAACGAAATTACTGGCGAGCATTTTGCACAAAGCTTGATCAGTATATGCCAGAATCTAAGATCTGGGCTTGTATAAAACGGCTGAATGGTGTACTAATAAAAAAAACAAAAAATATGTCAACATTGATTGTAAATAGTAAAGATATTGTCTCCGATCAGGAGAAAGCAAATGCCTTTGGAAATTACTTTCAAAAAATAGGAATAAAAGACAGGGATACTAATAAGGAATTACCGAAGGCACCAAATAATGACATTCATATTTTAAATGTAGATCATGTTATAAATGAACCCTTTTTTATAACAGAATTTGAAAAGGCAGTGCAATCGCGAAAAAAGACTGCCCCAGGAAAAGATAATATACCTTACGTTGTTTATGAAAATCTGCCAAAAGCAAACAAGGAAATCATGCTGAACATTATTAACTTAATATGGAAAACCGGGGAAATTCCAATTCAACTAAAGCATTCTATAATAATCCCTATTCTCAAACATGGAAAAGATCCCAGAAATACATCGTCATATAGACCAATCTCTTTAACATCATGTTTTGCCAAAATAATTGAACGAATGATAAAAGAAAGATTACAATGGTATGTTGAAAAGCATGAATTATTACCCAATTTTTTAAGTGGATTTAGGAAAGGTCGTAGTGTGACGGACAATATTGTACAATTAGAAAATGACATCCAAAAGAGTATAAATTGTAATGAACATGTAATAGCGGTTTTCTTGGATGTTGAAAAGGCTTTCGATACAGTTTGGATAAAGGGTCTGGTTTTTAAATTAGCAAAAAATGGAATAGAAGGGAACATGCTGAGATACATAGAAAATTATCTAACAGCACGAACTTTTCAAGTACGAATTGGAAATACAGAATCTAAAACTTATAAAACGCATAACGGGTTACCACAAGGGAGTGTTTTAAGTCCTCTTTTATATAATATAATGATGGGTGATATACCTACAGACCAAGATGTAAGCATATCTATGTATGCAGATGACTGCGCAATATGGATATCAGGCAGGAACATTGTACATATTACTGAAAAAATACAGAAATATTTGAATCTTTTAAATCGTTGGTTTGAAGAGTGGGGGTTTCGACTCTCACCTGTCAAAACAGTGCCCGTACTTTTTACGAAAAGCTGGAATGCCGTTCTACCGCCTGATATAGAACTGAATGGAAATGTGTTAATGTACGAAAAATCTCATCGCTTTTTAGGGGTTATATTTGATAAAAGGTTAACTTGGCAACCACATATCGAAAATGTAATCACGAGAAGTAAAAGAAAATTAAATATCTTAAGATGTCTAACTGGAACAAACTGGGGAAGTTCCTCGAAATCACTTATCATGGTGTACAGAGCAATTATAAGGTCTCTTTTTGATTACGGATGTGAGGCGTATGACAGTGCAGCTGCTACCACCAAAAAAGCCATTGACTCTGTCCAATACCAAGCACTGAGGATATGCGCAGGTGGGCTGCCATTAACCTCCTTAGAATCACTACAGGTGGAAATGGGGGAAATGCCTTTGGATATAAGAAGACAAATGCTTTCAAGTAAATATAGACAAAACATCGAAAGATGGGTGAATCATCCGTTGTTAAAAAACATTGAACCATGTTGGCATTTTGAATACTTGAAGGGGAAAAACGTAAACAAACCTTTTGGATATAGAATACAAAGCAAGCTGGGAAAACGTATAGAAACGATAACCTACTCCCCAATTCCACCATGGTTATTCTACCCTCCGGAAGTGTCAACGGAATTAAGTACTCGAATAAAGAAAACAGATCATCCTACACAACAAAAACAAAGCAGCCTGGAAATCATACATACTAAATGGGCGACTCAATTACATATATACACCGATGGATCAAAAGTACCTGAAAGAGGGACCTCTGCAGCTGCTTTTTACGTCCCTTACTATTCTGTACATCGGAGCAAAAGGTTAGCAAATTTCACCTCTTCGTACAGGGCTGAATTGGCTGCCATCATTCTTGCTCTCAGATGGGTAGATGAATTAGACATTTATGTGGGGGTTGTTATTTTTAGTGATTCACTGAGTGCACTTATTGCATTACAACAACAGAAGGACGAATCTTTTATTCTGGAAATTCTCACCATGACTACTCACTTAAAGAATAAAGGAGTTGATATATATGTAGAGTGGATACCTGGACATTGTGGAATAAAAGGGAACGAGATGGCGGATTTCCACGCAAAGGCCGCATTAGTAAAGAAAATAGAAGTCAATAATAACCTAAATATGTCAGAAATGAAAAGCTTAATTACTACAAGTTCCAAACTCCTTTGGCAAGAAAGGTGGAACAAAACCAACTCGTATTTGAAAACATATCAAAAAGATGTTAATAAACCATATATATGCTCATTAGAGAGACAACATTCAACAATAATACATCGACTCCGCTTTGGAGTCCTTGGACTTAACCAGGATCTCCTCAGATTGGGAATTCATGCTACTGGTTTCTGTAATAGATGCCCCAGTGAAATAGAGACTGTAAAACATTTTTTAGTACATTGCCCTAACTATATTATAGAAAGGGCTATGTTTCTAACAGAAATTAACGAATCCCAACCTGAAAAAATTATGGAATACTTAAAAAAGAGTGAGTCCAGTATACAAAAAGCTATTGTACGGTTCTTTCTCAGAACGAAACGGTTCCCTATCAGGAAGTAATACCTCCCTTGATGAACAGTAAAATATAATACAATATTATAAATATGCTAAATTACACTCAGTACATTAAAAATATAATAACATAATGTAATAAGAAAAGAAAATAAGAACAGTAAAACATAATACAATATTATAAATATGTTAAATTACACTCAGTACATTAAAAATATAATAACATAATGTAATAAGAAAATAAAATAAGAATAGTAAAACATTATACAATATTATAATATGCTAAATTACACTCAGTACATTAAAAATATAATAACAATCATAATGTAATAAGAAAATAAAATAAGAACAGTAAAACATAATACGATATTATAAATATGTTAAATTACACTCAGTACATTAAAAATATAATAACATAATGTATTAAGAAAATAAAATAAGAAAAAGTAACAACAATGATAAAAGGTATGATAAGATTACTGAATATAGAAGCTTGTGTAGGTGCTATCTTATATACATATTTATGTATGGTGTGTATGTGATATAACAAATAATCTGCACGTACTGTTAAGAAACACTAACAAAGCCCATGAATGTTTTGCTTACGATATTATTTTACGATACTATCTTAAAAGATAGATAAATATAAAACGAAATAAATGTATTTTTAAAAAAAATCCAAAATTGAGAGATATAACACGTGCCGTAAAGTAATTTGGCGACAATAGTCAAATCACTGACTAATCGCCAATAACTCAAAACACAACAACAACATATAGTACAAAGTTCAATGCATATCTGCGCTAATGTGCGCATGCGCGTGAAACTGCGTGTATGTCCAAAAGTCAAAGAAAATGATTGCTACACGAGGATTAAAAGCACCGTCTTTTGGCGTTGGTGAAAGAGTATTGTGTTTTGAACCAGATCCTACCAAAGTACGAGTTTTATACGATTCTAAAGTAAGTATACAGTGTATTCATTTTTTTAATTTAGGCAAAGTAAGCTCATTGCTACTGTCGCGTTTCACTTCGTCATGTGTTATTGTTGTCCCATTAATATAAATCGATGTAGTCTAGGCCTAGATCATGACTATGGGCGCTTGTTCAGAAACCTATCCAAAATTTGACCCCTAACTCCGGCGTGGACATACCCGACTAAAACATACCCAAAATGAAGTAAATATTCATTAAGTGTCCAAATAAAGATCATGAGTTAAAATTCGTTATGTTTATTACCTGTTTTGTGTCAATTTTCTTGTTATTTTGGAGTATTTTTCGGAAACGTTGATAGAGTAAAGTACCCGGTAATCGGTCAGCTCCGGTTTTCGGCCAATTGGTTGGATACATGGTAAAATCACTTTAAAATACATCGCATAATAGCATAACACATATCCCACACATACCATACCATGCCAGTGTCACTGAAGAACCACATTTGCAATGAAAAATATATCCTAAAATATCACATTTTAGCGATGTAATCGGCGGTCCCGCTACCCAAATCTGAAAAATCGAGTTTCTTACGCGTGTATGTAAGAAATATGGGTACCATAAAATGAGCTTTATTTCAAGTATTTTTCAGATATAGAGCCCGATTTTGTGCTGGTCGCAAGCTCAAAAGTATCTCATCGCATGTATTAAATCAATGCGGCCGCACACCGCGACGCACACACGATATGTCTGTCTAATTCAGATTCCAACTTCCGATCACCGATGTGCCTGTATTCGGCCAGGCGAGCACCCGGGAGCTCCGGCGTGGGATACCTGCTCCGCCCGCTTGTGCTATACATCAGCGCAGAAACGCACGGCGCGCGCGAGCGCTTCCTATTGACTTTGTACATGCGGCCGTAAACTGAAACGCTCGGCCGATAACCGGCTCCAAAACAGTGAAAATTGAAATGAATATTGTCATGGCAATTCGTGATTTTTTTTTGGGATTCTTTTTTTGTTTAAATAATAATAATATTTGCTTCATGATTTGAACAAGAAATGATAATAAATAGGAAGTAAAGAGTCCAATAAATAGGATTTTGTCTTAAGTGGCCGAAAACCGGGTACTTTACTCTAGATTAGGGTGTCTGAACGATTTTTCAATTTGGGATCGTTTTTCACCATTTTTGTTTGATATTTGAATAAAAAATATTATCAGAATAATATATTTCAAATTTCATGTCTCACCAATGTTTCTATCAAAAGTTACAGCCCCTCCAAAACGCTGGTATATTCATATCATTTTGGTCAAAATCGACGAAAAAGACGTCCACGCAGAGTGATGTTGTTTTGCTAAATTCAGACAAACAGCTGTATCGCGCGATATGCAAGCGTATGCATATAGTACGCATGTTGCTAAGCCAATGCGCGACTTGCAGCTTGAGCCACGCTGTCTCCGCGATATTGCCATTGACTTCAACGTGTATTCACTTCCGGGTTCTATGCCGCGACATCCACCCATACTTTCATTCACCATAATGTGTAATTGAATTTGGGGTTTCGTTCGTACGCGGAGATGTTACGCGATGTAACCATGGTTTGGACTGAGCGGAGCGCAAGCCCCCTAATTAGCTGATCCCCCAAATAGCGAGAAGGGTATTTTTAAACTATTATCAGTTGTGATCCCTGGGGGCTAGCGAAAATATAAGCACATAGAATTGTTCCTTACGACTGGTACTACTTATCGATCGGCGCGTCATATCTCAAAAGTGACAAACCTCAGAGTTATCCAGGACACAATGTTTAAATTGCTGTTTTGACCAAGATATTTTTAGAATTTCGGGGGCTATGCCCCTTTGGAAATATTGGAATTCACCTGCTCTTTCATATGACACCTCATTTATTGAGTATCACCTTTAGGATCACAACAGATAAAGGTTTGAATCTCGAATTGAAAAAAAAAAAAATTTTGACTTTTTTTGCATGGTCGCGCAATGCACGTAGGCTGCATAGGGATGCGTGTAATCTCTATGGGAAGAATTTTAGCACACAAAATCGGGTGCGCGATCAGACACCCTAGATAGATATTATTTTTCACAGGTTTCACGGCAAACCGCTGCACAATACAAGTACATACCGATGGTGGGTTGCGGGCGGGCACGCGCCTGTGTGAAGTTATCTACCGTAATGTCTCAGATCCTCATTAGACTTGAGGGCCTGGGGCCCGTTCCTAGAAACCGTCATAAGTCTAACTTCTTGACTATCCCATTGAAACGTGTGTTAGTTCTATAAGTTATAACACACGTTTCAATGTGATAGTCAAGAAGTTAGACTTATGACAGTTTGTAGGAACGGGCCCCTGGTCTATTAATATTTCTATACTGTATTATAGACTAGGGTAGCGCGCCCGGTATGGTATTCGGTCAATTCACAGTATGCGGTCAGACAGCCGTTTCAACAGCTGTAACAATTTAAAAAATAATTTATGAGCCACGAAACTTGCACAAATCAGGCAGCTGAACAACTTTTCTTAACTCTCAAAAAGAATCTCCAACTTAACTCGAAATTGGTCAGTGTCGGCGTGTCGCACATCTTTCTGCACTTCCGGGTTCTGTTAGCACATGCGCTAACATGCATAGCCATATGTAGAAGTCTATCGCGAAACAACTACGTGTTCTGTCGCAATAAATTTAGTATGTGTGTGAAGAGGAGCTCTTCCGTGTTCGCTCCATCGCAGCGAATTTGCAAATGACGCACTTGCCGATGTGCAAGAGGTATTTATACGATACCCTTGCCATGAGGTAGCGCTCTCCCAGTATTCGGTTAACGCATTGACATTCAGTGCTTCGTCGCGCAATTGTGTGAAAATAGTGCGCAAATACGCTTCGCTCCTTGTCAACGGAGATACCACGCACAAATCGCGTGAACAAATTCTGGGCAGAAAATTGCTCCTTCTTCTTTCGGAAATATTTTGCTTATCATCATTCTATATTAAGTGACTTTAAAATCCGGTTCAGAGCACTAATTTTCTTTTCTTTTGATGGGTAGATTGCCAAATAAAGGAGGTAAGAATTCAAAATATTTGTGATTTCCCCTTAAGTGACCGAATACCGGGCACGCTACCCTGCTGTATTTTATGATTTGTATTTTTTTTTAATGCTAAATAAATTTAATTTAATTAATTGGAGGAGAGCAGTGATTTACCTAAGGCTTGTGGGTCGGTAATAAAAGTGAAGGCTACTCCCAGTGATACATGTAGATTACATCTTTTATTGGGTAAATAACCCATGCTTTTGACTCTCTTTTACATTAATTACCAGATACTGAAAGTTGATTGGACAAGAGACAGTGCTGGCAAGAGAGTGCCAGAGTACCTAGTCCACTTCAATGGCTGGAATCACAGGTAAGGCTTTAGCTCAGCAGCACAGTCTTGAATTTCCTTTGAAAGGGCAATCCAACCTTTCAAAATAGAAAGGTAGAAATAATATTGAGCAGGATCAGAGTGAAAAGGAAGAGAGAGCGAGAGAAAGTAATTTGCAAGAGAGAGAGAGAGAGAGAGATGAAGGGGGATAGGGAGCACATAAGCAAATGAGAGCTCAGAGTTTGAGAAAAAGAGAGCTATGAGAGAGAGAGAGTGAGAGAGAGAGAGAGAGAGAAGGTGGGAGAGGAGGGGGGGGGGGGGGTGTGGGAGTCCAGTGAGAAATAAAACGGAGGGTACACTGTTGAAAATCAAATAGTTGTAGGCACAAACCATTATCAGTCATGAAGTACATGAAGTATGTAATGTATACCGGTACACTACACTGTCTTCTGCACTCCATAAAGCCCTGTACTGTAGCTGCTCTGGCCAGACAGCTCAAGGCTCAGCTCAAGGCTTTATAGAATCTTGTAGGTTTGAGCTACATGTGTAGGCGTCAAATTGGATTTTTGTCAACAACTTCGACAATGTAATCAACAATAGTCAGGCTTGTATTCATCACACACAGTCGGGATCATTCAACTGTTTTTATTGTTATTATTAATATCATGTACTGTATGTATAATATACAGTAAGATGACAACCAGTAGGATTAAATTGTATTTAGTACGATAATAAGAGTGAAATACGATAATCCGATATCACCTCTTAAAAAAAGTAAACCAAGTAAACCCCTGCAACCTCAACAAAAAGTTTGCTTTATAATTTTCTCGTTAAATTTATTGAAAGAGCAAACAGCACACTTACATGTACCAGTACCGGTAAAAAAAAAAATCTGAAATTTAATGGCCCAAGGCCAACAGGTCTGTTTTTTTATGTCAAGAGGTTGGCATCTCTGAATATCACCATATATGGACAATGAAACAATCAATGAAATCAATGAACGAATTGATATCGTTCATGTAGGTGTCTCGTTAGTGTCTGTGCCTGCAGACTACCATTCAAGCTAGTTTTGATCACACACATTCTGAGTAGTTTGCAAGCACAAACCCTGGTCAGTCGTAAAAGAGAGTCTAATAAGACTACCATAGGCCATGTACTATTGACACAACCAGTAGGTACTGTAGCTGGGCTAGACTTCTCTCAAGGCACAATGATCTTTTGATAAAGTGTCAAATTAGGGTCTGTGCTTGCAGACTACAGTCTGAGGTGGTTATCTATTGTGGGGATGCTAGGTCACCTAGGTCATAAGTTGGCCCTATACAATTGGCGGGTTTTCGTACAATGGCATAAATAGTTTTTGCGGACATGTTTGTATACAAACGAAAGACTGAGCTCTGTAAATGGTAATATGAATGCAGTGGTGATCTGTATGGGTATGTTTACATGAAGGACGCAATAGTGAACAGTGGTAAGTTCACTAAGTTGCATAGTTATAGTACTAGTAGTGCAAACATTTAATGTTTTTGTATTCATTTATGCAAGTTTGATTGACATACACTAAATGTAGCCTTTGAAATTCATTGTACTACGGATCGGTGTATTTTGCGTATCATTTCATTTTTAATTATCCAATTTGTAAAGGAATTCGTTATGATGCACCAAATATTTAAATAGCAGTACTACCGGTACTTTACCACTGTGTAGTAGGCCAATATTTATGGTTGCTTGCCTGCATACAGTACATGCCTGTCAGTATTTTATAAGCCTGCAGGTGTACATGTAGAATAAGACCAGGAAATCATGCAGATTACATGTACAGTAGGAGGGGACCGCAATGTATTTTATATTACTATAAGATTAATGATATTACTCCAGTTTGTTAAGGGTTATGTACAGTACATGTACATGTACATGAACATGTATGTGTACTTATCATTGTGTATGACTGAAGTTAGCAACCTAGAATGATTTAGTCTCTCTTCTACATTTTTGTCACATTGAGAGATATCAAAGGTACATGTATGTTAAGAACTTAAGAAGTCAGCTCAAGATGTTAAAGCAGGGACTTGGTTAAAGTACCTGTAGGATGCAAGAGACATAATATGCCTTGGAATGTGTGGCAGTGGTGGTATCAAGCATCAACTCCATTCAGTTCTCTAGTTATTAGATTATATCTTTGTGTGGTCTGGTGTCAGTCTCGTCAGTTTGACTGTGGTGTAACCTCAATCACTTATTATTCACTTCCGACAAAACCAATTCTTAACGGAACAAAATCTGATCATGATGAGATAATGTAATGTTATTTTATTTGTGGTCTGCTGTTGGCCTGGTGGGTCTTGATAGTGTGACTGTGACGTAACTTCAATTACCCCAACAAACTGATTCCAAACTGACTAAAATCTGATCATTTCTGGGTAATGAATTGCTATTTTTTGTCTTTTGGTGACCTTTTGTCAATCCTGTTGTTGTGAAAGGGTTTCACCTCCTTCACCCCAAACCTATTCAAAATTGATCATTTTGGGATACTTTAAGTTTTTTGGGGGTGTGGTGTTGGTCTCGTTGATGTGACTGGGTCACTTTAAACTAAGTCGACCAGATAAATCCAATTCCTACCTGACTTTAAATCATTTCTCAGCAAAGTAAGGGTAATGTATTGTTTTGTTTTGGCTGTTATCAGCCTAGTGTCGGCCTCAGTCACACTCTCTAACCGATTTTAAAGAATCTGAGTCTACACGTGAATACATTCTGAGCAAATCGGGGTGCAAGCCAGGAGGCTTTGTCCAGTCTGGACTCTGTACTCTGTTATCAGTCCGGTGTCAGTTTCATTGTTGTGACTATTGTCACATACATGCACATGTACTTGGTTGTTTTGGAGGCCTACATTATGTAGAACACTGTACAAGTGTGTAGTCTTTCATTATTATTACGTTATTTCTTTCTTTCATTTTGATGTTGGCAGTTGGGACAGATGGGCTCCAGAACACTTCATCCTCAAATATACAGATGAAAGCTTGGAGCTTCAGGAGAAGCTACAGAAAGAAGCTGAAGAAAAGATGTGAGTAACATCGTATTGGGATTTGAGACATGTATTTTATTGTAATTATTACACTTCATTGATGTACATCAATATTCTGGTGACAAACATATAAATCAATTTACAATGTAATGTAACAAATCAATATTCTGTTTGGAAACATATAAATCAATTTTAAAAATCAACATTCTTGTTTGTAAACATATAATTAATGATAGAACAAGTGTGTCATATACCAAACATTAGAGAAAATCAGAACTGCATATAATGTACTGTAGCCACACTCTGCACCGTCTTTTCAATAATCCTTATCTTTACATATATTGGATACCAACATGGAGGTATAAGAACAGAGATTCATTGGTTGGGTGAACTTGATACTAAAGATAGTAGCATAACTTAGATCAGCTCTCTCAACTGATTGTTTTATTACTTTATTTTAGGGTTTCATATTTCATGTCATTGCAAAATTTCAATCATTCAGTAAAACTGTCAATTCTGACTCTCGAAAGGTGGATTTTGTGCTTCAATTGAGGCAGAAACTAGTTTAAATTATATTATCTGACCCAATGTAAATGAATCATGTAGGGAGCCAGGACCTGCATCCATCTATAAAGTATACATGTATATGATAGAACACTGTTTGGGGATGTACATGTAAATCAAGGACTGCTTTAAAATAGGAATGTTTTTTGTTATCGCAGGAGAAAGAAGAGGAGGAAGAGAACATGGTCAGAGATTCTTGAAGAAGCAAGGGAGAAGAGAGAGAAGATGGCCAAAGGTTAGTGTATTGCAAGATTGGAAACTGGTCTCTTTTGTTTGAATTTTTCTTTAAAGCCTGTCTGTACTAGTTGACCAGGAGGGATTAGACCTCCCTGTGTGGTCACTGACAGGTTATCTCATCAAATCGGCTCTCAAATAACATAAGAAAAAGGGGACCATTGGGTCACCAATTAGGCATTGTTTGCTATATAGAGGGAGCAAGTAGCGATAAGTAGTGCACTGGGGCTATAAGCAGACAGTTGTAGGAGCTTTCTTGATCATTTGATATTAGAGGAAATGTGGAGTTTCATTAATTAATACAGTTTTTCATGGGAATTACTGAATTTACAGTCAATTTTCAGTAAATGGCCAGTGTGCATAAAAAACAGTGCTTATTCTGCTGACTTATATGTGAAGTCACACAGAGATACAGTAAATTTTTTAAATCTTGTTTCTATTTTCTAGAAAACAGTGCAAGTTCAGCAGAAGACAGCAGTGTGGGTTCAGTAAGTTTCGTTTTCAAATTTCTTAAATATTTCTATTAAAATGAGCTGGATGAATAATTGATGTACGGGTCTGTAGGATTGATGCTGAGACACCTCAAAGCCACACTGTACTAGAATTACCCCCCTCTATCGCCATCTCAGGTCAGCTGTTGCATTATGGTCCTGTAACTCGCTGCCCTGTTGGTTCTCGCATCAAGTCCTCTTTCTGTGAAGTGGAAATTAGGTGTTGGGTTATAAATGCAGCTTTGGCAAGTTGACCATGAGATGGCGCTGTGCGATAAACAGCATGCTAAGGCAGAGAGTTAATAAGTTCAGTATAGCTTTCACATGGAGATCATGCGATGATGATCTTGATGCTGATAGCTGTTTTACGTGCCTTTTCAGTTTCAAATGCTCAAAATTGTATCTTTACCTTGGTCATCAGATTCTTCAATGATTATGATGATAATGAGGATACCAGAGATGATAATGATAAGATGGATGGTGAAAATGACGATGATGTGGTGGTGATGACAATTTTAACAATGGTGACAATGATGTTCACACCAAATTATTTTTTTCATCATTTACAGAGTGACAGCGAAGATGATGATGACGATGAAGCTGTAGAAGTTCCCATCACATTTCCTGAAGCCTTACATGCCAAGCTAGAAGATGATTGTTACTTTATCACATCTAAGAAACAGGTCAGCAATGTCATCTACTTTGAGATTTCAATATTCATTTAATAATTGTTCCAGGGGCTTGATTAGAGAGTGCAAAATATAACAGATTTGTTTTAAAAAGCAGCAAAATTTTCTGTGTTAAATTTCCTGTGTTGGTAAGCAATTGCCTGCTATTCTGATGCAGAGAGCTTGTGGGAAGTACACCCAGCATAAAGCTGGAAGGAGAAGAAAAGTTGAATTTCACAAGATGTGTAAACAAAATATTTGATTAAATGATATTACCACTGATATCAATTTCGCAGTGATTTCTCATTGTCTTTATTTTTTATATTGATGAATTTTCCTTTTCACTTCATAGAAGGTACATGTAAAGTTACCATCAATTAAAAATGTTTTGAATATATTGGTCGTTTCACTTTCTAGCCAATTAAATGTATGCTTCACCATAGGAAGAAAATGGGAGCAGAAAGATGTTGATAGTTTGAAAAGCTCTAAAAAGCTCTTTAATTTGTTTTTTCTTTCTTCTTCTTAGAAAATGTCCGCTTTTTCTTAAAACACTGAAAAGATCCCCCGTAAACAAACAGTGTCATTGAAGCTTAGATGATAATTGTGTTCAGTACTTTACCATCCTCAGAAAAAGTGTTCCACAAGTCCAACTATCATTATCATTATCAACACTTAAATTGTGTGGGTCTGCAGTTTCCATGTGCAGAAGGTCATAATTCGCTGACACCAGACTGAGTGGAAATGGGTGAACAAGTCTGCACACAGCAAACTCGTACTCCACTCAACAAATACTCCTTGTCCCTCGGAGACTTTACCATATATGGGAAAAAGACAGAGCATAAAGCTTGTTGGTCATAGACAAAATAACTAACCACCTGAATAAATAAATATGGTCTGATACAGGATACCCAGCATGGTTTTAGGAAAGGGAAATCTACAACTACCAACTTGCTAGAATACCTAGAAATCATCACCAAATCAGTAGACAATGGTACACCAGTAGATGTAGTATACCTTGACCTAGCAAAGGCCTTCGATACCGTCCCACACAAGAGACTAGTAACAAAGATCAAGGCCCATGGAATAGATGGTAACATATTACAGTGGATAACAGCCTGGCTCAACAGTCGCAAGCAGAAAGTCGTTACCCAGGGAGCCAAATCTAGCTGGAGACCTGTTACCAGCTCTGTAGTACAAGGATCAGTCCTGGGACCACTGTGCTTCTTGATATACATGAATGACCTCGAAATTGGGCTAACCGACAAATCAACAGTTAGCAAATTTGCTGATGACACCAAGCTAATCCATCCAGTGCAAATAGACAATGATAGAACAGACATGCAAAACTCCATCAACCACCTTCACAGATGGGCAAATACATGGCAGATGAGGTACAATGCAGACAAATGTGGAGTGATGCATTTTGGAACCCACAACCCACACTACACATACACGATGGGCAACTCCCAGCTGAAAGAAAGTACAGAAGAAAAAGATCTAGGGGTTCTAGTACACAAGTCCCTGAAAGTTGCCTCCCAGTGTGCTGCAGCAGCAAATAAAGGAAACAGGACACTAGGAATGATAAAACGCAACTTTACATTCAGAAGTAAGGAAGTGATCTTGAAACTATACAAGTCACTCGTCAGACCCCACCTAGATTACGCCATTCAGGCCTGGTGTCCTTACCTGGAAAAAGACAAAAAGAAGTTGGAAAAAGTTCAAGCAAGAGCCACAAAACTCATCCCAAGTATTCAACATCTACCATATGAAGAGAGACTAGCAAAACTGAAACTAACTACTTTGGAGAAAAGAAGAGAGAGAGGAGACCTACTGCAAACCTACAGGATAATGACGCAAATCGACAAATCCAACCCCAAGAATTATTTTCAGTTTGCTAACTATGAAAGAACAAGAGGCCATTCCATGAAGCTAGCCAAAACAAGAAGCCGCCTTGACATCAGGAAAAATTTCTATAGCCAGAGAGTTGTAAGCAATTGGAACAAGCTGCCACAAACTGCCATTGATGCTCCCACACTCCTAAGCTTCAAACAACAACTATCCAACCTGGGTTTTTAAATGGGTCCCATGGGACCCCCTTAACCCTGCCACACCACACTATCTACGGGATCTTTATCACCACGATGGCGAGGTGTGGACTTCAAGGTATATTCAAGGTATATTCATAAAACTGAAGGCTCATTCTGGTGATTGACAACACCTGTTATTGGGTAAACACCCAAACGGTGAGATGCCAACCAGTAAAATTAAATTGTATTTAGTACGATAATACGATATCACCTCTTAAAATACAATTTTATTTTTTTTAAACCCATAAAAACCCGTAAAAAACAGCCGAATCACATAGAAACATTTACAAGTAAACCCCCGCAACCCCCCAACAAACTTTGCTTTAAATTTTCTCATTAAATTTTAATGAAAGAACAAACTTGACCGCCAGTGGTAGTGTCGAGTTTTTGTGAAAATCTGATTTTTTTTTATAGGATACTCAGTCTGTTTTTTTGTGTCAAGAGGTTGGCATATCGAATTCCCCATGTGACTCCACTTTTATTTATCTTTAAAATGCTTTTTCTCTTTTTGTAGTTGGTTAAGCTACCACCGGACCACACGGCTTTGTCTCTAATGGAGGCGTATGTGAAGGACTTTGCTTACCGTTGTCAAGCCCACAACGTGAGGGTGCATCTCAGACAGCAGGGTACCGCTGGAATGCCTGTATGCCTAACCACGCCTAATGCTAATAATGGAGACTCGGTACAACCTCCTCCTCTACCGCAGTACAAGTAAGTAGTCCACAGCATTAAGCTTCATTGTCCACTCTCAACCCAGGTGATGTAAATGGGTACCAGGTAGGAAGAAATTCATTGAATGCTTGTGTGCTGTAAGATGCAAGCCTGGCTAGGGTGGGCAAATCATAGTATTTGGAAAAAAGTACTTAAAAAATTCCATTATAATCACTTTTAATATTTTTTATATTTTTTCAAAGATGTTGCAATGTCAGGGAGGGCAGAGAGAACTGCAGTTTCCTCAATGTTTTTCAATGTTTTATGCATTTTTTTATGGCAAGAATAACCCCTCTAAAATGCACCTTTGTAATATCAATTTTGAAGAAGAAAAAGAAGAAAAAAAATTGCATTTTCCCAATACAGCTAAGCTAGTTTGCACTGCAGTATATATCTATAAAATGAAAATGACGAAATCACAGAAAATGTGTAATTCTTGTTAATACATGAATATCTCAGGGTTATGAAAAATGTTGAATTAATATGAGGGAATATTGCAGGACCTTGTCAAAAACTAAGAATAAACTTTATAAGCATTCACCAATCGGTTGTCACCACATCTAACCGTTATCTTCCTATCCAGTGTTGACCTGTGCAGAGAAGTGATGGATGGTATCCGCATCCTCTTTGACTTTCTCTTACCGACCAATCTCCTCTATGACTGCGAGCGGGCTCAGTACAACGGTCGCTATGCACAGCGCCCTGTCAAGACCAATGGGGTGAAGGACGATCCCACAAAGATAAAACCGTAAGTATAAATTTTCTGGTTTTACTTTGGAATTGAAGTAGCTTTTGTTCCAGATATGAGGTACTGAGTGCTTAGTAAAGTGCTACGTCACCATTTTTTAATGAAATATATATGCAAATGCCATTCGATACACAATGTAGTTTAAAGGGATTGTGTAACTTTGTCTCAGATTCTGAAACAAAATCCTGGATTTAGCTCATGCTGCAATGATAATTATAAACCTGTCTGATTATCAAGATATCTATGATTGGAAATCGAAAATTAAAAATTTGTTTTCCTAACGTTTTTCATAACACTACAGTCTATTGGGGAAAATAAGTATGGTAAAACCGGTCACTCAAAGATTTTTACTTTTTTAAGGCACTTCATGATCATTTTTGAAGCAAATTTTTGTTAGGGCTTGAATATTACACCATATCACAGACATTGATAACACGTAGGGCCATGCATCTCAGATTTACCATTGTTAAGTGATGCCTTTAATGGAATTAAGTTTTGAAAAAGTGAGCAAGTACAAAGGTTAAAAGGATTCTTCCGATTGTAAAGGAATCTCACGTATTGTTACTTGAGAGCCAGAAGGGCATTTAGTTAGTGTCCTCCTGGCTCTGGGCAGTCAATATCTTTCTGCAAACCACATGGCTGTCTTGGGTTCCATATCACACAGTATATGGTACATTTGAGATCCATCGCTTCTTGGCTTTATTTTCTTGATGGAACAGCTTGCAAACCTGTATTTAAAGACCAAGCTGTTGGAAGTGAAGAATGAAATAAGATGATTTAATACATTAATGGACAGCTTATAAGTCATAGATTAAGATGATAGCAATTACATGCAACTTTGGTGTCTGTCACAGGAGTAACAGCTCTCTGAAAACTCAAAATCTCAAGCTTTGAAAATCGGTGATGATCTAACAACTTCATTTAGCTTTCCATTGATTGTAGTTGTATTTTCATAGGATAGGGTCTTTCTCTATGATTTCGCTATCAGGTGTACCAATGGCAATGTGAGGGCGACACGGCGATGGAGCATGTCATCGTCCACTAAGGAGGTCTTACCACCGGTCCTAGAACCTCAGACCACTGGTCCCGATAACTCTCCACCGGTCCTCAAGCCAGAGGCTGCACTCGATGGCAAGAAGGAGAAGCAGGAGCCGGCTCCTGAAAGAAGGATCACCAGGAGGTAAACTATAAATTTATCAAAAGAATTCTAGTCGGAAACGTGCAAGTACTCTAGACAACAACAACAAAATTAGTCAATTGCACTCTGTTTTGTATTAAGCGCTATATAAAAAGTAAATATTATTATTATTATTATTGGACATTCCATGTCTACTGGTATCACTATGATTATTTTGCAATTTAATTTCCCTTGTTTAATTTTAGCTGTGATACCACTTGCAGACAACTGATTACATACGCAGCGAAATTATGGTTAATTGTCAAGGATATTCTTGTTTTATTTGGTGGTTGTTTGAGGTTGTCCAGGGTTGGGAGGATGCAGAGGGAGGAAGGGTGTGCTTGTAGTAGGAAGTAATATTCTTTAGGATATTTTCCTGGAATCGATTTCTTAGCTCTCCAGAGTAAAAGATGTGTGATTATTTTGAGAAGGTGAACTCAAACAAGTCTGGAATGTCTTTGTATTTTGTTCTAATGCTTTCCATTTGTATTAAACATATTGTACAAAAGAGAAGGTTGTTTATTGGAATTCCTGTTTACCGATATGTGAAGAACTTGATAAATCAAACAACTGTTTCTTTTGTTATTTTGTTTTGATTGTATAGGTCATCTACCAGTAGCTTTAGCCAGTCACCACCACCTCCGCCACCGGCCCCATCATCAACCAGGGCGCTTAGATCTTCAGATGGCCAAAGACGCAGAAGTGCTGACACCAAGATGCTATCATCCTCGACTACCGCTACCACCACGACCTCAGCTTATAACAAACGAGATGAGGCAGATACTACTACCACCACCACCAAAGAACTTACTAACCATCATCCTCCATCTCGAAGCCTCCGTCATTCCTCCCGGCTTGCATCCTCCTCCTCCTCCACCACTCCCTCTCCTCCTGTCATCACCAACATGGACTCTATCCCGTCCTTGGAAGCCTCTGCCGCTACCTCCGCATCACAGACCCCACAGGTCCTGAGCAACGGAGACACCAATGACTCCATGAAGTTGAGAGGAGGCCGGGGGTCCCTGTCGACGGCGGATGTGGGGAAGATTCCACAGACGGCGGAGTTGAGCATTAAGCAAGAGGAGAGTGATGATGGGGTGTTCAGTATTGAGAAGAATTGCTGGAAGCTTCTGCCCGACTGTGCTAACTATAACGGTGCTGAGCCTCCATGCAGAGTCTATGGTGCACAGCATCTCTTGAGATTGTTTGGTAACTATATGCTCGACATCTGTGGAAATATAAAAATAGATGAGCCATTTTAGATGAGAGAACAAACACTATTGTTCAGATGATTTTTGACTGTTTCAGAGGTCTGACTCGTTTTAACTTGCATGTAAATAATAATAATAATAGCTAGTACTTATATAGCGCTTTTCAAGACCGAAGGCCCTCTCAAAGCGCTTTACAGATATATATATTATTACCCCGGCATTTAAGTGGAAGTCTAAACCCACCCTGACACCCCCCCCCCCCCCCTCCCTTCCTCCTTTCTAGTCAATAAGCACCACTTTCAATCCAGAGTATCACTAAACCCTGTAACATTTTGGGTAAAACCATTGTAATTACCATGTATTTGCAAAATGTTATCGTACATGATTTTATAGATAATCGTTTAGTATTTTTCTCCACTGTTTCTTTTCATTGTGTTTTGCAGTAAAGCTACCAGAAATCCTTGGACGTATGGATCTACCACCCAAGAAACTCAAGCCCCTGGTCAAGCACATAGAGATGTTTCTTAGGTATGTAGAAGTAACTCTTGTATGCATTCTCACTGAACTTTAAATGCTTTTACCATCTTGTTTCTGCATCGGTCTTAATGTTTGAGCACATACAGACATTTCTCTTCTATGTAGTTAGTGAAAAGACAGGTTTGCCAACATATTCAAATGTTATGAATAATTTGTATTCAAAGGTTGTTCTTGGCAACCTCAAAGCTTGCCCAAAGCTTGTCCGACATAGCAACAAGTAATGGATGTGACTGGATTCCAAGTTATGTAGTTCATTCATTAGTGACAGGTTAATTGAATAACTTGTCACAAGGTCCCCAACATATTTGGATATGTTAGTTAACCGGTCTATCTCTAAATTTTTTAATACATCATTGTGTTGTCTAAGGTGACATCACATATGCATGACCAATTAAGCAGTTCTTAACTTAAATGGCAGATATAGGTCCACGGTTCGAGTCTCGCCGTGGCACTAATGTCCATTGGCAAGACATTGATCTACATTTGCCACACTCAACCCAGGTGATGTAAATGGGTCCCTGGCAGAAATTCATTCCTTGAAATGCTCGAGTGCCGTAATGGCCGTCTCGCTAAAGCCAGGGTAATAATCGGGGCAGTGCCAGGAGCGTCACAACCTGACGGACATGTGTGCTATCTAAGAAGCCACCATTATTATTATTATTATTATTATTATATATCTGGCTTTTGCACCTCTCTATTGTGGGTTCCTTACTTCATTCCATTAATGTTATATCCATGCATATCATAACATGTTAGTTATTGTTTGATCACTTCTGTTAACAGATGGTTGTCTGCGACAGAGCAGCTGCTGGAATACTTCCCAGACAAGGCTTACGGCGGTGAAGCAAAAGCTCTCAGAGACAGAGGAGAATTCAAGACAAAGAGAACACTGGCTGCAAAATGAAGAGATTTGATCCAGATATGCAAGCTTGGGAATCATATAAGGCAGCTGTTATCTTTATTGCATGGTAATCAACAAAATAAAATTGAAGGTTGAAGCTACAGGGAAGAGTTTATTGATCCACTAGATTTGGAGATCAAGAGAAAATCAGCTCCAAAAAAAGATGAGAATTGTTCAAGATTGGGAAAATTGGATTCTGAGAAAGGTACCGCCACTTTTGTTTCTTTGTCGTGGAAATGAAAATGAAAGGAAAAGCAAAGATGGGTGTTATAAAACAAGAAAAATCAATTGATCCACTAGATTTGGAGATCAAGAGAATGTTAGCTCCAAAAAAGATGAGAATTGTTGAAGATTGGGAAAGTTGGATTCTGAGAAAGGTACCACCAGTTTTGTATCTGTTTCATGGAACTGAAAGTCAAAACAAAGATGGTTGTATGGACGAAAAAGTTAATCCTCTGGATTGTAAAGGCAAGGGAACATCATCCACAAATTTTGAAGATGAATATTTTATGAAGATAGATGATACAGGGGCTGAACAAGTATTTACAGTAATTGTCTGCCTGTAATGGCAATGAAAGTTATTACCAATTAATTAATCTTAGAGGAAAGAAAGTTAAGGTCGCTGAGGAGAGCGTCTGACAGCTTTTAATATAGATTAGTATCTCACGATGACATTCTCATTGAAACATGAATTGGAGGAACCTGCACATGCAGACCACCTGCTTGGAAAAAACTGCTTTTGTTGACTCTGTTAAGAGGCCTTTATATACAGGTATCACTGTATTTTCTAAGCATCCTTAAACCCTAACAAGAGCCATCGTGTGCTGTTGCTCATTCAGTGTTGAATGTTATAGAGTCAAACCTGTCTTAGTGGCACCTCTCTAATAAGGCCACCTGTCTATAGTGACCAAGTATTCTGTCTCCCTTGAGAAAGGAATGTGTGTTGTAGAACCTGGCTAGAAAGGCCACCTGTCTTCAGTGGCCACTTTTTTTCTGTTTTCCATGAGTGGTCTATATAGACAGGTTTGACTGTATATGCATGTGTGGCAGTTTGGGGGCACATGGGGGGGGGGGGGGGGGGGGGGAGGGTGATAGATGGCGAACCATGACAAAACGAAAGGAACTGAGGAGAGTTTATCAGTATTTATTAACAGTTTCAATCTGATGGGATTATGTTCAAATGGTTGATTGTTTTACCATCATGGTTCCTAGGCTTATGTCATATTACAATCTTGAATAATGAGTATTCTGTAAAGATCATTGATATAGGTATTGGTATGGAGTTGTTCTGATCATCAATGTATTTGAATGCCAATGAATGATGTACAGTTAGAGAAGAGTGCTCACGTGCACAGTTACATTCCTATTTTTTACATGTTTTTTCTGGTGGTAATTTGTGATGTTACTAAATTGTTCGTTTTATAGAAAAAAGTGAAATGAAAACCAACAACTTATTGTGTACTTTTGTGTTTGTTTTTCCTGTATTATCACAATAACGGGGGTAAAACTTTAAAAAAGGAGGTAGGGATGGATGTGCAAGGATGTGAAAATCTGTAGTGCATATCACTATGAACATGACGTACAAAGAAAGCGGACAAAATATACAGTTCCTCAGGTAGACAAATGAACATCCCTTCACTGCTATTATGTAAAAATGTGTAGAACAGGTGTCACATGCATATTCACCTGTTCTACATATTTTTACATAATAGCAGTGAAGGGATGTTCTTTTGTCTACCTGAGGAACTGTATATTTTGTCCGCTTTCCTTGTACGTCATGTTCATAGTGTATGTATTGAAAGATTATTAATATTTCGTCCAAAAGGATGAATACATGTTTCTTATTTAATAGTCCTGAGAGAAAGAGAGAGTGTGAGGAAGAGATATATAGAGAAAGAGGGAGATAGAGAGAGATTGAGTGTGTGTGAGGAAGAGGGAGAAAGAGAGAGAGAGAAGAAAAAGGGGGGGGGGAGGAAAACGGGATAAAAGGGGAGGAAGGTTAAGAAGATGAGTCTGACAGATTTACATGTAGCCAACAACTAAAAATGAAAGTGATGAAAATTAAGATTGATGACATAAACAGCACAGGGTGAATTAGAAAAACGTGAACCATCAATCCATACCCTTTGTCTATCAAATAGTAAGATTATTGCAAATGTGAACATTTTTCAAGAGGAGAGATGATTTTTTTTTTCTATTGTGAGTGAATATATAGTGGGGAAAATAATATGAGGACGGATCATTCTACCTATAATTAAAAGTGGTTTCTAATGATGTCGATGTCTCTCATGTGTACCAGTCTAGCTCCCTCTCTGTTACATTTTTCTGAAGGGGAAGTAACAGCTGATCCCCCCCCCCCCCCCTCCTGAACTCGATCTATCATATTCTTTCAGTAGTGAAAAGTTCAGTGATCCCCATCTCCCTTTGAGCAAAGATCTTTAATCTAGCTTGAAGAAAACAGACTCGAAAAGTTCGCAATGTAAGCACTCAACACGTGATACTTTATTTTTCCATCTTTTCAAAGTCCGATCAAGAGTATGGATGAAGAATTCGAAAAATATGTTGGAAACCTTTATTTCCAGTAAATGGCACCATAAACATGGATTTCAAAAGTGTAAAATTCCCTTGCCTTAATTACCTTAAAATGCAAGTTACTTTAAATGTTGGACTTTGGGAAATTTTAGTGAAGGATTAAACTGTCAGGAAGACTCCCATTAATCCTGGGGAAAGTGCATATTATGACCTTGCAACCCCCATGCAAGGTTAACAAGATAAAACAGATTGCGGGATTGCGAAAAGTTGCGGAAGCCATAGGTTTCGTGAAAACTTATCATCTTATTTAATATTATTAAAGTCCTTTATACAACCTCATATGTCCTCTTCGTTGGTGCTGGTATTAGTAATGAATCAAAATGTTTTATTAAAACAGATTGTATTACGATCATGCTATATAGACCTACATCGAAACAAAAGAAGCAAAAGTAATATTTTAAAAAATAAAGAAACGTCTTGATCTTGTGACGAGAGCATACATTCGATCATTGCGTTATTTGCTCGCATGGTTCTCGTGTATTAATTCGGGACGGGGTATACGCGTATACGGTACTCTTCACTATTCGGTGAAATCTAGCTTCATGCACCTACATGTACTTCTAAGGCGCATCGATGTTGTACCAAGTGCATAGGCCTAATTTACTTTCCTTCATCATAATATCTTGGGTAAGCCAATATTTTCTGGATACTCATGATCTTGTATCTGTATTTTTACAATTACAGTGTATTACTAAGTCAGATCAGTCACTTGCACTTTGTACGTAGCGACACTATGACTAGCGCCTAGCGGTTCACTGAGTGTAATGCCGAAGTCGGCCGCCGCGCCCCGAGCCTGCGCCTGTACCCTAGGCCTAGCCTAGCTAGAGATTCTTGCACACCCACACATAGCTACATGTAGCCTATAGGTCTAGGCGCGACGTGTAATGAACTTATCGGACGGGTGACGTGTGTATTCGAAACGGGCCTAGTACCATGAGTCAGGCATGAGTACAGGCATAGTTTAGGTAAAATTTATTTGAACACCCATGTTTAAACTTGAAGTTGAGTTGAAGCAGTCCTTCTATTATCAACACAAACTTTGATTTTTTTAAATTTGGTTCAGGTAAAGCCGAGCTAGTTGAGTAGAGTCTCCGGTTTGCGGCATCGCCCGGTTTGCGGCCAGGGGTATTTGTTTTAAAAATAAAATGAATATGACTCGATAATAATCATTGAAACCTACCGTGGATTCCACGGTAAGTTCTGCTTTGCCGAAAACGTCCGTAGCAGGTGCTCCTGTCAGTACGGAGTATCCGTCAGCAATGTCGGAAATCTACGGCAGCAGTCGCCGATGAAAATTCCAGCAGGTGCTAACTTTTAAGTTAAGAGATCGAGGCATGACTAGATCAATATTGTAGCTCTATTTGTCCGATATTTGTCCGATTGGAGGTGAAATTTGATGTTTTTGTGGAAGTATGATGGCTGTGGTCTGTCTCCTATCGCAGATATTTTGATTGTGCCACCGCATGGCCAGTTGCATGGGGTGGCCGCAAACCGGCACGTAATTACGTGTTTTTTCTGGTTTGCGGCGGGGGGTGTTAATACACACATAACATGCGGGATCGTGTATGATGGTATGTGTGCTGATGTGTGTACCCGCTATGACCCGATAATTTCTAGTAGTACTTACCCCCGGATGGGATGATCCATTCGAGGAAAAGGTGAAATTGTTTAAAACTTGACAAATTTACCGTAGCAACAGATAAACATGAGAATTTGGGTTACCCATAGTAATTTGGTACATGCTTTCATCGTGACGTAGCGCATAAAGCTTTGTGACGTACGCGTGCCGCAAACCGGTAATGCGTGCCCGCAAACCGGGGAACTCAAAGCATTTCGAAACGTGGTCAATGCTGACCACGCTGTGGGTCAGTTAGGTTATTTGTGACTTCTATTTAATAAGTAAGTATATGGACTCTTTATTGAGGGTATTGAAGTATTCTGTGAGTATTCCAATAAAAATAGAATCGGCAGTTCCCGCCGATCGGCCGCAGACCGGAGCCACTACTCGATCTAGACAGCAATAACCATCTGATTTGGGTCATTTCTTTAATAAAACTGACATTTGTTGTCATTCCCCAATACAGATGGTAACCCAAAGATCTCGTACCGTGGGGGTGGCTATGAACATCTTTTCGTTCACGACATTTTCTTCCCGATTTTCTTTATTTAGATCTAATTTTCTGATTTCTAAATCAGATGTAAATTAGGTCGGTCTAGTCTATATATCTCCTAATTACAGTTTTCAAAATTTGCTAACCTATCATAGAATGTGAAATTTTCGGACTTACTTATATGAATTATCCAATTTGTATCTTTGAAGTGTGAAACAGTACGTTCATGCACGTTCATGCACTCGAACATAGAGCTATATGACCCGGCGGCCGATATATATTTCCGGGTCAATTCCTACCAAAACATAGCCAATGGCCAATCAGAGCACTCGTTTCGTGGGAGTTCGTTGGTCAAGCCGGGCTGACTCGTACGTAACTACGGTAGCTATTGGACGTTCGAAAAGAAAAAATGAATATTCATCAACTAAAACCAAGACGGATAATGTTGACGACAAGACTTTCTCGGATTAATCATTAATTTAGGATCTAAATGAGCAAGCTATCGTAAGTCAAATAACTAAGCTATATATATGTTATTTTTAATTTTTATTATAATTGCAGCAGTTATGAGGATGTAAAGAGTGAAAATCTCGTTGCATATCTCATTCATCGCGGTCCGGTCAAACCGAACCATTTGTTCTGTACAGTCCCGATGGGACATACTTCAGTCTCTATAATCAGAGGTCTAGTGGAGCCAGACGTAGTCTCAGTGGAACAACCGACGATTAGAGAGACTGAAGCTTTCGGCCTAGTCTAGATCTAACTGTTAGACCGAATTTTCTGTCTCTTTCGTTCGTTAATTAGCCTCTTATTGGGGTAGGGTCAGCTCTCTCTTTAGAGACGGAAGCCGACTATACGCATTCCCTTGCTAACACCATGGCCATTTATGGCCATATTTTTATGCCCTGAAAATCCCCACAAATGTCATTTTACCTCGTGCATGTTATATTGTAAATTAGGCCTAGGCTATAATAAATCGGTTCCACTTACCAACTTGACAGAAATAATCTGTTTAATGGTCCCTTTTTAGGAAATTATGGGTCAAAATCGAAATCCATGTTGAAAATCTTGCAAGACATATTTTAACTCGCTGCGCATGTTGTCATCTAAATCTCATCTCTTCTAGTTCTAGTCTACGCCGAAGGCAAAATGATTATGAAGGAAAAACTGTGCGCAAGCTACACGTTCGTAATGGCGTTTTCGTAATAAGTTGTTGTGTTTATATTATCTGTTTCGTGTCCATTTTCTTGTTTTTTTTTTAGTATTTTTCGGAAAAACAATGATATTAGTACTTTTTCACAGGTTTCATGGCAAACCGCTGCACAATACAAGTGCATACCGATGGTGGGTTGCGTGGGGGGCGTGCGCCTGTGTGAAGTTATCTACCCTAATGTCTCAGATCCTCATTACGGTAGACATGACCCGGCCGGTATATTACCGGGTCAACCTACCAAACATAGCGATGTTCCTGTTGTTTGTTAACTTGGTAAGAACCCTAGAGATTCTAATTAAGTAAAAAAAAAAGTCTTGGAAATACATTTTTTCCTTTTTACCCCTCTGATCTTTCTTCCTGCTTTACTGTACTCAGTTTTTCCTTTTGTATCTTCATTTTCCAGCCAGCTGCGAACCACTCAGCTGGGAAAATTCAATGTTGAGACATCAGTACATGTATGTATCTGCCTGACTCTGACAGGATACTAATTGCACAACGTGTGACTGCCTTCATAGAGGAGGAGACAACTTGCAAACACAATGAGGGCGTATAGAACTATCAAGAGGTTGCTTCTTGCATGTGTAGGGATATCCTCCTTGTGGATCATATCATCTTTATTAAGTGGAAACGATGACAGCGGTATGGAGGAGAATATAATCCAGCATGCAAAACAACCCAGGGCGAAGGACCCACAAGCAGATAACGGAGTTGATGAGAACAATGACCTTTATAAAGTTGTGCCTGGGAACAAGCTCACGTTCATGCAGACAGATAACTCTGGCCACGAGCTGAGTAACGATTCTCTTAACATTCACAATGAGAGAAATCAAGAACCTATCGTGGATAGTCTTACGTTGTCGCGCGAAAAGCTGAAGCAGTCCATTCTGACCATCAACCACGAGCAGAAGGTGTATAACCAAGACCGCTTTGCTGACCGATCGCCGGACAGTATCGTGATCCTTGTGATGGTCCATGACAGGCTGGAGTATCTTGAGTACCTGATTCAATCATTAGGGAAGGCTGATGGTATTAGCGATGCTTTACTTATCTTCAGTCATGATTACTACTCAGAAGATATCAACAGGGTGATCAGACAAATCACTTTCTGTCGGGTAAATACATTAGTTTTTTCCATTCTTGTTTATCAATTGAGAGTACAGACAATCCTTATTTTGTAATTCTTTTATTTAGTATTTATTGTCTATTTCTGGATATTTGATTTTCACTGACCAGTGTAACATTATACAGATTAACATTTACTAATGAATTTATAAAAGTTCTAGACATTAAGAGTAAATAAACAAGGTTTAACATGATTAAGCACAATTGACAAAAGATCTAATGTTGTGTAATAAACACAAATTCAGGGCAATAGTTAACACAGTAATTAAAGCAAAGCAAGAGCAGACCTGTGTCAAAGAATTGAATTCATGATTGATATGATATGATATTTTCACCACACAAAGTAGTCCTAAATCCTGATTATAGAGCCAATGAAAATGTTCTTGCTCCATCATATGCATTGATCATTGTTTACTAAGTCCTACATTTAGATGATGAAGGTTCTGGTCTGTAGTGTGCCTTTCATTTCAGCTCTGGAGTTGACAAACAGAAAATAATGCTCCAGGGGCCGATTCAAAATGGTTAACCAATTTTTAAATGACTAAACAGAGTCTTAAAAAGCAGTTCTAATTGTTAAAATTTATTGATAAAATCAAAACAATAGGGAAAAAATGTCTGCTTTAAATTACTATTGCACAACAGGGCATCAAGGTTCAGTCAGGAAAACTGGAAAAGTTATTCAGAAGTAATATCATAAATAATTTTACAATATTGATGTCCTTTTGGAATACATGTACATGTACCACAGACCATATTTTCAAGGAGAGTACGAATATACCCTTTTGTCATGAATACAAAGACAGTCATTCATCATAATTGTTATTATTACACCTGTACATGTATCAATTGTATAGAACTCGGAGTGAGTGTGAATGGGTTTTATTAACTTACAGCACTAGTTATAATGTGGGTTACTAAAAAGACACATTTCCAATTTCCATTGAGATATCTACATAAATTGTATGGGAATAGGACCAGGGGGGTGTTTCATAAAGTTGTTCGTAAAGTTATGCATGACTAAGCGAATGACTTAAATATGAAAAGCCAAATAGGATGCTCAATCATTTTTAACTGCATCAACTAAAGTTGAACTGTGCAGATGTAGATTAGCATTCTTAGTATAACAAATATTTTTAATGCAAAGTATATTTTTTGCCATAGCTTAATTGAGGTTATTGGAAATAGAGTCACATTTTGTTAAAACATCAGGAAAAACTGGGGGCATTCTATCTGGCACTTCATATTCAAGTTGTTCCTAAAGTCATGCGTAACTTTAGGAACAGCTTTATGAAATACCCCCTGCTGGCATTGGACTTAAATCACTAAATGACAATTTGCTCATACACAGATAGTGGGTTATGTGAGAAAAGGAACATATGTCCATGGAAATAGGATCAGCTGGCATTGGACTAAAATCACTAAATGACAGTATGCTCATACACAGGTAGTGGGTTATGTGAGAAAAGGAACACAGATGTCCATGGAAATAGGACCAGCTGGCATTGGACTAAAATCATTAAATGACAGTATGCCCATACACAGACTACAGTGGGTAATGTGAGAAGAGGAATATTCTGCTTGTAAATCACTGTCTGTTTTAATCACTTTCTGTTTGCTTCAATTTACAGGTGATGCAGATATTTTATCCATATTCATTGCAAGTCTACCAGAACGAGTTCCCTGGCCCGGATCCCAACGATTGTCCTAGGGATATCACTCGGGACAAGTAAGGATGTGTGACATGTGGAAAATATTCACTAAACTTTACTTTTTTAAGATGTACATGTACTGTACATGTACACGTACATGGATGTACAATTTCAAGTACAAATGAAAGGTTAATTATTTTGCATACATACTCATTGAGCAGACGAGCTTGTTTGTGATCCTGACATATCCATTTAGTTGTAATGTCACACATGATTAGGATTGCATGGACTGTGGAAAATAGCTTTTCTGATTTATTTTCTCCCATTTATACACTCTTTCTTTGTACAAATGTTCCAACTTACTGCCCGAAGAGCACTGGTATTGCTATGTTTGTCATGGAATTTTTGACTACCTATGCAGAGCTGCCAACCATCACGTTTTTCCCGGAATCATTCTGTTTTTTACTCCAAATTACGGTAGTACATTTTTTCTTCATAAAATACGGTTTTTTAATTTTTTTGTTTTGTTTTTACATACGGCACTTCAAACCACTGCCATAACATTTTGATTGGGTCTCAAATTCAATAGAAAAACTAAGGTTAAAACATACTGGAAGAGAAAAATATTTATTTTGTAGGTCCTAATATGGACCAAAAATGGACATTTCTGCATTGGAAGTGTGTCGCGCGTGGTTGTAAGTTTCGTTTTAATGAATTCCTTTTTTTGCCATCATGGTTCCTTTTTTTGCCATCATGGTTCCTTTTTTCGGTCGCACTAGGTTGGCAGCTCTGCCAATGAGTTTTTTACACATTTTTTTTTTTTTTTGGGGGGGGGTGGAGGAAGAGAGCCCTCTGTGTCAATGAAAGTTCTTTTTGTCCACCTTGGGAGTCACAATGTTTTCTGCTTTAAAAGGTATCGGTGAATCCTTAACAAGATAACCTTTAAACAAATATGCTTTTAATAGTTTTATCTAGAGACATAATTAAGTAAAGCTTATTGAATTTCTGACTCTTGCAACATACCTAACTTTACCAGTGGGAAATTGAAGATTTGCATTCATGAATTAGGTGTACTTTGACATGGCAAGACATGGGAAAGTTATGATTTCATGGTTTTATGAACTGAATTTAAATTGTGCATATCATTTGCATATTTCGCATAATTTATGATAATGACAAACTTTACAAGTTTTGACAATGCTCCCCTAAAATGTCTCATTGATTTTTCTTAATAACAAAAGTTCTGAATAGTGTCTTTGAAGTGCTTTAAATGCCAATACCTGGGTACATATTCCATTCCTGAGTGATTGAGAAATGTAATTCTGGAAGCATGGCTTCAGTCATGAAAACTGATTCAGCATACAATAAATACATGATGCACGGTTATGACTCTGCAGTCCTTGCCAAGAAAATTGAAATCCCAGTTGCGATCCTTTCACACGGGGCCCAAGGGCAGCGATTTACAAATACAATGTAGGTGTCAGGTTTGTGTTGTTCATGAACTGAAGCTGACATTTGTTTTGCTTTCACAGAATATTTTGTCATCTGTTTTTACTTTTTTCTTGAAATTCTATCTCACCTACATGTAGTCTTTAATCAATATTATTCTCTGTTTTTAGTTTCCAGGTACTTTTCAGTAATGCTCACAATATGTGTTTGTAATGCCTTTGTTTTTCTTGAAATTTTTCTCTCACCTAGTCTTTAATCAATATTTGTCTCTGTTTCAAGTTTCCAGGTACTTTTCAGTTATGCTCCCAATATGTGTTCATCATGCAATTATGTTTTTTTTTTTTCTTTTTTTTTTCAGAGCACAAAAAATCAATTGCAATAACTGGGAGCATCCAGACAGCTATGGTCACTATAGAGAAGTGAGATATGTGATGACTAAACACCATTGGTTCTGGAAGGTAAGTTCATTACTGAGAATCTCACATGCACACTGTACAAACAGTTGACGCTGCTGCACCGGTGCGGGCTATCTCCACAAGTACATGTTCAGTATATGTCAATACAATCCACTCTTAAAGGGATCGTTTAACAATGTTAAATCTGAGATACACAGCCCTACGTGTTATCAGTGTCTGTGATATGGTGTTATATTGAAGCCCTAAAAAAATTGCGCTTCAAAATGATCAAGAAGTGCCTCAAAAAAGTAAAAATCTTTGAGTGACCGGTTTTACCATACTCGTTTTCCCCGATAGACTGTAGTGTTATGAAAACCGTCAGGCGAACGGTTTTCAAAATTTGTAATTCCAATCATAAATATCTTGATAATCAGACAGGCGATCGGCTTGTAAAAGTCATGGGGTTCCTGACTGACCTAAAGGTTTATAATTATCATTGCATCATGAGCTAAATCCAGAATTTTGTTTCAGAATCTGAGACAAAGTTACCGGATCCCTTTAAATCTGTTAACTACTGAATTCTCTCATTCCCATAGACTTAAAGGTACTATGTCCCATTTGCAGGCCAAAAAAATAAAAATTTAAATTCCAACTGCATTTGAAAGATAATACTAATTTAGAACTTCCCTAAAAAAGGTGGGGCTTGAAAATGTCTTCAAGTGGGAAAATAACGACTATTAGTTGTCATATCGACTTTAGGGCTATAGAGCCCAAAAGTAATAGTCTTGATTTTCAGACAATTGTACCGAATGGTCATACGTTTTATGCTGCGCAAAGATTTAATCAGTTTAATTTTGGCCATTACAAGAAGTGGGTTATTGATGTAGACAAATGCTCATGTACCCTTTACAACTCTGTTCATGTATGTTATTACCAAAGAAGAAAAAAGCCAGTCAGTCACTCAATAGTGTCTGACAGTGAAGTATAGCGAGTAAATGGGTTTCCTTGCATAATTTGAATATGAGGACACTGCTAACGTTAACATTTCACAGATAGGACATACATGACATATTCATAATTCCTTCAAAGTTCTACAGCATTTGAGGTTGGCTGCAAAAGGGACATACATGTAGTACCTTTAAAAGTGGAGCCACCCGGTCCCGTCAACAATATGTTAAATCAGTAGGGCATGTCGAAAGCATCCATTTGACTGATTCCCATTGTAGTTTCCTGGAAAGCTATTAAAGAAGTGGAATTTTATTTGTATTTATAAACGTTATGCTTTTTGATGTCAATATGTTCATGTTTATTCAGGGCCCTATGGAAGACCACTACTTATTGGTGAATGGGCTACCCTGACAAAAGATTAAAAATAAATAAATAAATAGATAGATAAAAATCATACTGACAGTGTCAATACTCATGTGTACTGTATATATATTTCCTTTTGTAGTTACAGATTAGTTAATGTAATTACTCATTATTCCTAAGTTTCATTTGAGGTGTTCACACTTGTACAAGCATTGCTTTTTAGTGGACCCCTCTGTTTCCAACATGTATTTCTTAAATTTGTTTTAAATGCTTATAATTGATTTGTAATGTTTTGTTGGAAAAATTAATGAATTTGAAAATCTTGAACTCTTGAAATATATAAATGCACATATGTTTAGTACATGTACATGTAATGTACATGTATGCAAGCATTGTTTTATGAAGTGCTGACGGATCCATTGGCAAACCAACTTCCTTTCAGAGTGAAGGACAGAGCAAATAAATAGTTTTTGTACAAGTCTGTGTCTGCTTCATGATGAAGTATTGTACAGAATACACTGAATGTAGCATAGACAACGACGTGTTGGGTCAGTTGGATTGAGTAATAGCTTGTCCACACACAAACAAAATTATCCCGAAACGCTATAAAGAAACGTTGTATAAAGAATCATCGTAAGGCGAACAGGGCATCCACACAGAAGAAACGTTGTATAAAGAATCATCGTATAGCGAACAGGGCATCCACACACGCAAGTACAAGTATCTGAAACTCTTCGGCGAAAATGTTGTGTGGGTGCGCAGTGTGTTGTTTTTTGCTGTTTATTTACTATGTATAGCTATAATCAGCTGGCTGCGAGACGGTCATGAAACGGAAGCGGAAATGAGAGGTCAGGTCTCCTTTCGCGCGCAGTCCCGTTAAGCCCCGCCCAGTTATACCGTTCTAGTTCGACCGTACCTGTAAGTCAACACACAAAACATTCTGTGATTCTTTATCGAGTTCTAGTTCAAAACGATGCCCAGACACTAGTTTTGTTATACAACGTTTCTTTATACGACGTATCGATTATAGTAAGCGTACACACACCCAATTTCATTGTATGGCTATCCCAAAACTGTGTTGACACAGGGTAACTGAATTTCATATTAATATTTTTTCTTCAAATATGAAGAGTTTAAAATTACAAGGGTTACTCTTGCAGAGTTTGTCTGTTCGGAGCAAGAAGGATGTTAACTCATATACTCTAACACAGAGTCAATGCCTTTCTGTCTCTAAATAGTAGGTGTGTCAGTATATTCACCATGAACACCTGGCAGGTAATATTATATGTAACATATTGATAGGTTTGTGGAAGTGGTCAAATTGTCTAAAAAATTGTCTGAAAGCCCCACTGCACTACCTATAGGTACTTGCGCCCTCTATACAGCCAACAATGGCTTAGCGGTACCCATTGATCCCCCATGATGCCCTTTTTCTTATGTTAATTGAGAGCTGATTTGGTGACTTTACCACCTGCCAGTGACCTCACAGGGAGGTCTAATACCTCCATGCCAAACTAGTGCAGAGGAGCTTTAAACTCTAACTCCTCCAAAATATAAGGAAATGTTAGGCACTGTAGTAAAGGAAAAGTACATATTATTTTTTCAATATTAAGAGTTCTATTTGTAGTGTAGCAAGGTTTTAGCAATTCTATAACAAATAGATACATATCATCAATGGAACTTGACAAAAAAATATCAAAGGAATATCATACAACTGCCACCTTTTTGAAAAGTACCATTATTTAGGATGATGTCCAGTTATTTCAAACACGTAATGCAATTTTTTACTTGGTTATTCTTACCAAATTAAGTCATAGTGGGACATTTCAGTATGTAGGAAAAATACAGTGAATAAACCATTTATGTTTAGTGAAGACATTGTACATGGTGATCTGTATGACAAAGAATCAATGAATGCATAGTCACAAAGATATAAAGCACACATAAATAAAAGGAGCAGAACTCCAACGGGAAAAAAATGGCGGTCTCGCAAAAAATAGAAACGAATGCCCCTAGATGTGACATGGCACTAAGCCATTTTCAGAGTGATGCGCAATCAATATTCTGTGGTGAATTTGGAAATGGGGTACCGGTAATGCAAGAAGGGTGCTGTGAATGGAAAAAAGATCGAAAAACACTAGTTTTTTAATAAAAAGGTGTAACACAGGAGCATGATTAATCTTTTGATCAAACAATACAATAACATTTCTTAATATCTGCGGTAATGAACGACAATGTCTGAATGTTTCTTTAAAGCTTCAGCATGTGTTTTCTGGACTTGAAGCCACCAAGAACCACAATGGCTTGGTCCTCCTGCTTGAAGAAGATCACTACATGGCTCCAGACTTCTATCCCATGCTACAGAAGATGTACCAGTTGAAGAAAGAGTGAGTATTGGCTGTTTCACCCTCACCCTCATCCTCACCTCCATTGATCAGCCATAATAAACTGCAATGAATACTGACATAGTTGACTTGTTAACATAATAAATTGTAAAGCTAATCTAATATATTGCCAAACTCTTGACTTGCTCCTCAGTCTTGATCTCAAAATATATTAAAGGCAGTCTGTACTAGTTTGCCTAGGAGGGATTAGACCACCCAGGGTGGTCACTGACAGGTGGTTATCTCATCAACTCAGCTCTCAATTAACATAAGAAAAAGAGGATCATGGGGTGCCAATGGTCACCAATTAGGCATTGTTTTCTATATAGAAGGAGCAAGAAGCTACAAGTAGTACAGTGGGGCTTTAAAGCTTATGCCATCCACAGCAATTAGAATCTGACACTCACTTTACCTGTCCATTTTTTTCTTCATGCAATGCAACATGGTTTAGATACATCTATTTATATTTATTATTCTTGTATAACATTTATTCTAGTTCAAGATCATCTGTCAAAAGTTGCAGGGACAGGATAAATTGCAAGTCGTACAATCAATCGCAAGCTTACAAACTCCTTTCGCCTCATTACAGATTCTGTTAATGTCAAATTCTGATGATTTTGTAATTCATGGCAAGTAGTTTTTGATTAGACATGGCCCATTTTGTCAACTGGCAGTTTCAAGACATTGCTAGAATTCATCTCACTGTTCTTCTTCTTTAATTTTGTTTTAACAGAAAATGCCCAGAATGCGACATACTAACCCTGGGATCCTATGACAAAACGTTTGTTTATAAAGACAGGAATGACAAGGTGAGAATTGTCTTCTCTCTATCTCTCTTTTTTTTTTCTGATTGAATATTTGCGCAGCACAAAACATACGACCATTCAGTACAAGGGTCTGAAAATCAGACTATTTACTGAAGTGATTGCAACCACTAAAGTCGATTTGACAACTAATGGTCGTTATTTTCCCACAAAAAGACATACATGTATTCAATCCCTGTCTTTTTAAAGGAAGTTCTCAATTAGTATGACCTTTCAAATGCCGTTGGAATTCAACCTTTTCATTTTTTGGCCTCCAAATATGACATAGTACCTTTAAGCTGCTCCAGCCAGAAACTGGCAGACCTAGGTTCTGCTCAAGGCTTTAAGAATTGTGGTAAATTGTAAAATTAAGAGTCTGTAAATGCAGACTTACTAACGTTGTACCTCTATTGTTTAGAATGACACCACAACGTTTGTGATACCATGTCTATTTGAAGATAAAGACCAGTTATGGTCATCCGATTGCATTGTAAAAGATAAGGTGTGGAATGGATCAGAAAAAGTTGATCATGTAGCATGTAAGTATTGGTGTGTACTGCAAAGTTCTGGAGTCATGAAAATCATAATAAATTTGGCCCTGTCTTGGTAAAGTAACAAGCACTGTACACTGAAAGATGTTTATGAAAGTACACAAACCTTGATTTCCTAATCTTTCTATGCTCATTACTCAGCCAGTATACATTTTCTACCAAAATTGTTTGGCAAATGACATTTATTTGCAATCTTGAACATTCAGTGTGAGTTTTGTTTGATTCTTTGAGAATTCATTTTTTTTTTTTTTAACCAAAACTCACGTTTATCTTTAAATACAATATCCTGTAAAGTGATAGCCTTCAACATTGATTGTTAATGTTTTCAACAACCTTACCCCTAGGTGGACTCTTTAGTTTGGCACTCTGCCAAGCACAACATGGGAATGTCATTAGATAGAAAGACATGGGAAGAACTTCAGCCCTGTGTGCCGGTAAGCAGACATTGGTACCATTAAAGGGGAAGTCTAACCTGAGATTAATTTGATTTTCAAAGAAGCAGAACAATGGGAGAAACGGGTCAATGAAGGTTATAGCAACAAAAATAAGAAATTTTGCGATTTTGTTGAGGTGCAATCAATCAAACACAAATTGACGTATCTTGGGATCTCCCCCTCCCATTTGCCCTGTACTAAAAAAATAAATTTTAAATCCAGTATATTTTCCCTTACAAAAATGTTTCAATCATACATTCACCCTAAATATAATTATTGTAAATATGTTTTTATACAACCCCTGTATGAAACGAATGTATTCTGTCATAAATAACTTAGAAAATGAAAGTTTATAACATTTTATGAACAGAGCAAATTGGAGAGGAGCTCACATGATACGTCGCAGTGTTGCCAATTTGTTATTCACTGATGACAACTTCAAAAATTCATTACTTTCCTTTTTCCAATAGGATTTTGCTCAAACTTAACTTATTTGTTTCTCTCATTTTTCTGCTTTTATTAAAACCAACTTGATGTTATGGTAGACTTTCCCTTTAACAGTCTGTATTGGTTGGATTCAGACTCATTACACACTCTGTTCACACTCACCCCATGTTCAGCCTACCATAATTAATTGTATAGCTACAGGAGAATTGTGTGTTGTAGCTGTACAATAAGTGTATAATTTTCCTAGTCTGAACGCTGTATTAAAGGCATCGTTTAACGATGTTAAATCTGAGAAATATGGCCCTACGTGTTAAAATTGCACTTCAAAATTATCATGAAGTACCTAAAAAAAGTAAAAATCTTTGAGTGACCGGTTTTACCATACTCAATTTCCCCAATAGACTGTAGTGTCATGAAAACCGTTAGGAAACGCAAAATTTAATTTTGATTTCCAATCATCGATATCTTGATAATCAGACAGGTGATCGGCTTGGAAATGTCATGGGGTTCCTGACTTACCTAAAGGTTTATAATTATGATTGCAGCATGAGCTAAATCCAGGATTTTGATTCAGAATCTGAGACAAAGTTACCCAATCCCTTTAAGAAATGTTGTATAACAAGCTTTGCAAGTTTGATAATTTTGCATCTGCTCTTCCTTTGCAGCAATTTTGCACGTATGACGATTATAACTGGGACTGGACGATGAACTACGTGAGCCATAAGTGTCTCTCTTCCGCGTTGCAGGTCATGGTCTTTAAATCTCCAAGAGTCTTTCATATCGGAGAATGGTATGTCATTGTGATCTTGTGGGCTTTCAAGCGTTTAGTATTGATCAAAGTATTTAAGAATGTATTTTTCACAAACCATTTATAGGAAGTGAAGACATCATTGGGAAAGAGTTTGTAGTTCAACCCTATCAAGAATGCCCGAACATCCTCCCATTTTGACAGAGAGGTTCGCGACCACATAGAATTTAGTATGTTTTGATGATGAAATAACTATTTAAAGATACAAGAGTATTTTTTCCTTGCTTGCTCGCAAAATTTAGAAACATATCACTAATGATTCAGGGTGTCCGAATGTGTATTTTGAGACAAAATATTTTGTTTACACAAACAAAAGTGCCATCCTGTTTTGCTCAGTGAAATTTGGAAACAGGATGGTTGATTTTTGGACAAGAGGCTCATAGCCCCCTCCCCTTGCAAATTTACAGAAGAGTGCCTAGGTGTACATTGACCTGACAAGAGCCAGAGTAATGCAAAGGATTCTTCTGTGGGGAATTTGGGATTGGAATGATACACAATTTTGTATTTATTAAAAAAGTATGTTGTGATTGAGTAAAGGTTGAAAAAACGCTAATGTAATCTGATTTGTCTCTGTTATACAGTCGATCGAAGCAAAAAGGTAGTCCTTATAGGCGAGTTGTCTTCATTAGTACAGGCTTCCTTGAAAATGAAATTACGTTAATAAAAATGGGAGAAATAGTCTTCCTACGCTGGTGGTCACATTTATTAAGTTCCATACTCTCCGTTCTCATTTAAACACCATGATGGGCTGTATACCCCCTTGTCTTTTCAAACAGTGGCATTCACCATAAAGGCAAAGGAAAATGCAGTGCTGATGAGCTCGTCAATAGAATAGACTCAACATTGGTTGCTAACAAGGAGAGTCTCTTCCCTGATAAGCTCATTTTGAGTCCCAAGACGCGTCCCCTGAAGGCCCGGCTGCCAAAGCCCAACGGGGGCTGGGGTGACGTCCGTGACCACACCCTATGTAAGACGTACAGGAAAGAAGCTTCAAAAGTAGTATGATTAAGGCTGAAAAAAAAGTGTTTAACCCTATGATTTTACCAGTAGATATTCTGTTTCCAAGTGAATTTTAAAAAATGAGGTATCGATCTGAATTGTGTCGGAAGTGATTTCGTAACCAACAATAAAAAATAAAAAATAAAAAATGATGATGTGGTTTCTATTAAAGGTAATACAAAGTTTTGGGAAATTTTAAAAATTGGGTGGATAGTGATTCTTTACCATTTTGATATATTTGGATGCCCCTGTGGATGTGTTATTAGCACTAGAAAATTTATCCCCTAAAACACTTCTGCTTTCAAGAAAATTGAATATAAAAATTTACCAGGTAAATTTTGATGAATTTCAAATAGCGCCTACGGCCGTACAATGGTAGCTGCAACCATGAAAATCTCAGAATATGTAGCTGTGATATATAATTTCCGAACAGGAATAGCTAATCGGTCAATTTTAGTCAACAAACATTGTTTTACAGCTTAATTAATATCTGGACCTTGAGAGGGAGCTATACAACATAAAGACTTTATTATTTACAATTTTATAACTTTAGACTCGATTTCAACCGCAACAACGATCACTGAATATTGTAGGACCACATATGCTTCCAATGTGTTCATTTGAATCAAATTCATGACCCCATAGCAAAACTTTGTATTACCTTTAAAGAGAATGTTTACATTGCAGAGGTGACTAGTAGTGTAGTGTGTGTGAGACTGCTGTGTACTGATTCTATGCATTATGCTTTAATATAACATGTAAGATATGTGTTACAAAGCCGGCATAGGTTTTCTCTTAAATCATGACATTCCCATGGAGAGTAAATACACTACTGCAATATTACCTCCAGAGTTGTATTGACAATGGTCCAGCTCTGTTTCAGAGATTGCCAGTGAAGCATATAGTCATTTTCTGTTTAATTTGTACCAATCACCTGACAAAATGATTTTGTGTACAGGTAGAATTTGTAAAGTCAACATTAAAAAAACTACTTGGAATGCTATGGCTTAACATCGAAAGAGTATGGAGAAACATGAAACACTGCGCATGGAACACAGGTAAGACTTGAGTTCCTCGGGTTCCTAAGTCTTACTTTTATAGGTTCCGTGTGTGCCTTTTTCTATGCGATCGCGTACAGATGTATCACTAGTCTACTCGCAAGTCCTTTTATGTCAATAAGCCGGTTCACGGTTGCAGTCTGAGCATGAGCAGATAAAGGTCATTGCAGAACAAATTGTGAAATACACGGAGACAGAATGAAAGTTATGATTATTTCAAAATGTACAATGTTGGACCTCTTCATGTTTTGAAGATCTGTGGATCTTCAGGGTCATTGCAGCCATGTTCTAACTGTGAACTGGTCTATTGAGCGTGTATTCAAACATGCAATATCACTTTATTTTAAGAAAAATTTGGGCTCAAAGCTTGAATATACACATGTACTTCATTTATATCAGCATGGAATGCTTGATTAATAGAGCAAAATACTTTTGGTGGTTGGTACACTTTAACAATGAGTTTGACTGAAAACCCAATAAATGTAGATATTCAAATACATGTGAATTTACATGGATGTAGAGGTGTCACGATACGCTAATCTATTGATCACATGGTTCGTACATGTACATGTTGTTTGAGTCCGAGCTTCAGTAAGATAATAATAATAATAATAATAGCCCTCTCAAAGGCCCTCTCAAAGTGCTTTACAGACATACATATTATTACCCCGGTCATCGGATTCAGGCTTAACTGCTCACAATGTATGCACATTTTCCACTCCCTGGGGAGCATTCCAGCCGGGCGTCATTTTACAAGCGCACACCTCCTAATCTAAGCACATTAAGCTGTCTCATCCTACTGGGTACTCGTTTAACACCTGGGTGGAGAGTGGCAAATGTACATCAATGTCTTGCCAAAGGACATTAGTGACATATCCACCCGTCCACGACACATCTACATTGATGTTAGCAAGAGGCTTGAAAAGAGGCGCCTGGTCTACTGGATATGTCACCAGTCTGTGGATCACATTGTCGGTGGTTCAAGTCCAGCCGCGGCACTGATTTCCTTCAGCAAGACATTAATCTACAATCGCCGCTCTCCACCCAGGTGAAGTAAATGGGTACCCGTTCGAAAGGAATTCTTTAAATGCCTGAGCGCCTTATTATGGCGGCTCAGCTGCAGCTGGGGTAATAATGTGATGCTTTGTATTGGGCACGGTAGAGTGTATTTATATACTAGCTGGGTGATTTAAATGGACATATACTAATTATTATTATTATAAGACATTGATCAACGTTTGCTTTGCCACTTTGTACCCGGGTGTAGTAGGTGGGTACATGTACCGGCATCTCGTAAAAATCCATTCCTTGAATGTTCTAAGCCTTTTGACAACTAAGTTAAGTGGTACTATGTATAGGGTTCCTTGAGCATTCCATGGGATTCAAATGCACAAATGTTAATTTAATTAAAGATTATATTTATCAGTATTTGTGTCCAATATATGATATTCCTTTTTTGTTTGCAATTTCAATATATATTTAATCATTTGTGTTTTTTTTAAATTTTATTAAAAGTGCCTGTGTGTGCCTTGTATTAATCAATTTCACTATGCTCTTCATTAATGTAAGAAAATGTACTTAGAAGTCATACCCATATGTGATAGATTAGTTAGGGAGTAATGTGTTGTATATTTGTATAATGTATTAACAGCTGGTCTGAGAGAAGGTATTTAATATAATTTTTTTTTGTTTTTTTTGTTGTTGTTGATTTGTTGTTGTTGTTTTTATTTCTATTAGTATTATTGATAGTATTTCTTTGATAAGATATAACAATTTTGTTTAGATACTAACAGAGAACTCATGTATGTATAAACCTCATTGAAAGTTCTTGAATGAGTGTGTGTTAAAGGTGTTTTAAGTTTGAATAATTAATGTGACAAAGTTTAATAAACATTTGTCTTTGTTTAAATTATCATATGTAGAATATGGCTAAGGCTCCTTTCTTAATTTAGACAACTTCTAAAATATGTTTCTTAGACTTAAGAAAAATTCCTTAGAAGTTTATTGAATATGGGTCCTGGACATCCCAAACATTTAAAATTCTATCATAGCTAAAACCAAAAATAATCACATTGATAGATTGTCCAAATCTATACCGTAATGCATTGATTGTCAATTTTTGATAGGAATTGCAGAATATCTTTCTCATGATGATAGCCTGGTATATATCTTTTATTGTACATGTATTAAGCTTGTCTGTTTCCTAAATAAGTTAGTTTCACTTTTGTTTCTTTTATTTGCAAAAGGGTGGACTTTTCAAGGTTTGGGAGTGATGATATATATGCAAAAATAAAGTGAAAGTATGATTACTAGAGGCATTCCTGAGTGAAATGAGACGAGGTCAAAAAGAATGAAGTGATATTAATCTTGCACCTTGTAGGAGCTCAATTTGTTGATGATATTGATACCATTACAATCAAGATTTAATGTCAATAGCATCATTGCTGTATGGGGGCTGGCCCTTTTTTAATTGTCTAGAGTAGTTAGATTTATAGAATTTATCACTGTGCACATGTTTGTTGTAACGTCTTGTACATTGTGTACAGTGCATATCATGTGCAATGGATTTAATGTGTCATCTTTTCATCTATTTTATACTTGAATTTCTGGGAGATCAGGTAACATTCTTGTTCCTCTCACTTTCCTCCTCCCCCCCCCCCCCCCCTCCCCCTCTCTCCATCTCTCCATCTCTATCTCTCTCTCTCTCTCTCTCTCACTCACTCTCTGTCTCTCTCTCACTCTCACTCACTCTCTCTGTCTCTCTCTATCTCACTCTCACTATGTCTCTCTGATGTGTTATTTATTTTGCATGATGTGATTTTGTTCTTTATGTGCTTAATATGTCATGCAAGGATAAAGTTCAGGAAGAGCTTTATTATGTATTTTTGGTGGAGGTCCGTTAACCATATCTAAGATAACTATTTGCACTGATTTCATAGTTCATGTACATGTTTAACTAACCTTGCCATGACACTTGTCATTTTGGCAACTGTTTTAGCAAAACTTTCATTTTTTGTGTGTGTTCAATTTAATTTTTGGTAAATTTTTTCTTAAGGTTATGATTGGCATAGTAGATTTGATAGGTCTATACAATGTCAAAATCTGCCTAACTCAGAAAAACAGTTGTCCTGCTAAAGTGAAGATTTTTGTCCCCATTCGGCCTAAACAAGAACATTTAAATCATGTTTTGTCTGAAGTAAGATGAAAGTTTTAATTAAAAAATTGTTGTGGATTTGGACACCCATATTTTATGCATGTATAAAGAAATGTGTTGTAGTGTATTCAAACTGTTTTTACCTGTTTTGTGCATTTTGACCTTTGACCGGAAATGACCACTTGTATGATTTCTGTAGCAAATTTGTAATTGAGCAGCAGGGTTTTATTTGCATTGAACTTCAATTGAATACATGTAGATGGCAAGGTTTATACACTAGTGGTAGTGGTATAGTTATTGAGAAGCTTGAATCCTTGCCTGATACCTCGGGGCAAGGTATTTTATCTTCAGCTTTCACTCTCAACCCAGGTGTGGTCAATGTAAGGTTCTGAATATTAAGATTATTCCTTTAAATGCACAAATAATAACTTCTAGTGCTGAGACTAAGGGAATCCAAATGCAACGCGATGTAGTTTGCGATATGAATGTATATGATGTGTAGTATATACAAGCAGGACTTTTTACCATTATCCTTTCGAGAATATTATCGATTTTGTCTTACAGGTTTATGTGGAATAGACACATGAATTGTTTGTTTTTTAATGCATTTTACATCTGAATGTTTGTATTGCCCTTTCTTTATGTTGGTCAACGGAATGCTAATTTGCATTCCTATTTTACTTAATTTACTACTTTTACTTAATTTACTTAGTTTACTTTAACATGGTTTACTTTTACATGAGCTTGTATTTTTCTTTGCAGCTTGTATTTTTCTTTGCAGTATTGTCATCAAATACCGGTAGCCAAAGTCCATGAATAAATACAGTATATTGATAACACATCATTGTACAATTGTATCAAAGATGTCATGATTGTATGTTAGTTATGGAACCTACCTTAGAATAATCAGAGTCATTCTCAAAGTCTGTATGAAATATGAAGCCATAGCATTGTGGAGGCTCAACAACTGAGAAACTAAGAAATTGGGCTGGCAAGACCAGTTGTAACACTTTAAAATATATTTCATTATATAAATTCAAGTAATTCAATGGACTTCCTGACTTTGTTTGATAGTTTATTAACTTTTTTCCAAAAATAATAGAAGCCATTTACTTGCAAATTGAAAATCGAATGTATGTGCATCCATGCATAAAGGGTTCTCTTGCAAGGCAGACAATGACACATTCATTTCTCTTCATCCATCACTGTGCCTACATCTCATAATCTATGAACCCATAAAAAGGAAAAATCTACTACTCTGCACGTCTGTTTAAAAAATTTATTGTCCACAGCTCTCGTACCTTAGACAAATATCTAATACATGTATATGAATTCACACTAGAAACCACCCCACAAGGTATATATGCTCAACTCCTTGACATACACGTCTAAAGAAGTTTACAAGGGAGTCGTCTCCCACTAGAATTGGAACATTTCAATATTTCATTTTTGCATATTCTACATTCTGTAAGTGTCTGCGTTACCATGTATGTGATATAATATGAAGCAGCATGAGTAGCTGATCAGACAAGCAGAAAACAAGCTCGGGGTACACACAGAAAAAGAGTTGCATTACTGGGTTACTGGGTTATACTTGACAATCAAGACTCAACAATCCTGTTAAAAATTATCGCATGCAAAATAATTTTTTTCTTTATTATCAAATATTTTGTTTTGTTTTTGCATGCACACTGCATATCCATGCAAAGTTTACATGTTGGAAAAATAGTGGAAAATTCAAGAAATTAATATAGGGCTTCTCTTTATTACCCGATATGAACATTTCTTTTTTTACACAATTATTAACAGCCCAGCCATTTCAGCAAGATGGTCTCTGCACACGACTGGTAATCCGCTCTAGCACAACGTAGATTAATGTCGGTAGTAAGAAAGTTTTTAGGATCTCCACTGTGCATTATCTATCATCATCATCATCATAATCACTATTACTGTTGTTATTAACATTGTTATTATTTTCATAACTATGATTATTATTTTTTTTTATTACTATGATTATTATTATTTTGTATCAGAGGATCGTTCGGTAGCACTACTGCTGTGATCTATACAACGGCGCATAACGCCAATATGCGTACGTGTGCGTGGCGTAGGTAAACATGTTCATTTCAGCTGTGCATACGTCTATAGATGAGCTATTCGCCGGAGCAGTGATTTGAATTATTTGACAAAAATGGCTGGGCTGTTGTGTAAAAAACTGCGCACCGGTACAATGACTGAATACTGAAATTGCTTTAGGAAGAGCTCCGTTCACAGATGACGTATACATGAGAGCAAGACAATCTTCCTGTAGTCTTTTGAGATATAATTGGCTTAATAAACAATGTGGACTCACAAGCTTATACCCCTTAAATTTAAATATCCTTGAATACATTAAAAAATTTCAATGAAACTGGCGAGTGTTAATGATAAATATTTGTTATGACAAAAATCCCCCAATAAAATTCTCTCACCTCTCTCTCCCTTCTTGTGCTCCAAATTAGAATCGCATTCACCCTCTCTATGTTAAGGTCTATTTTGACATCTTCATATTGAAGGAGCCAATACCTGTTTGTCACCAATCACAGAGCCCTTGTACATGTATGTATTATACAGGGTAGCTTCTTTGCTGAATCTACTGGTTTTAACTGCCTGAATCTTTCCCATGTGAAATGGATAAGATGCTACTGGCTCACAAGGAACAAGTATGTAAACAAGCAATGTGGTATCCAGAAAGACTCGTAAAGCATGATGACTTGCAAGTTGCAACACTGCTATACATAAATTAAGAGTTGAGACTTTCATTTGAATTATTGTATATCTAAATGAAGAGAAAACTACCCCCCCCCTTCCCCCCCCCCCCTTCCCCCCCCCCCAAAAAAAAGGGACCTGGCAAGATACGAGATGGCCTTAGTGAATGAATGAACCAGCCAATAGACTGCATCCATGCATGAACAAACTCAACAGAACAGAGCATGGAAAGCTCTTTAAAGAGACCCTGTCGGAAGTGAAAAATTAAAAAAATAAATTACATTTTAACCAACTTGATGAAATCAGCATATTCACAATGAATTTGCATTAATTAAGCATGGCTCATCGCCTCAGCTATATAGGCGAGCCCATTGGGTTCACATGTTAAATGGACCCCTCTTGACCCGTAACGTGGAGGGATACAAAAAATGAGGTTTTAATTTGTTTTTGTGCAATACTGAAAGGGAATTTTTTTAATAAATATTTTCATATTTGTATTCTACGTTTATGCAGCTTTCCACTTATACAAAGTTGTATTTTCATCGGATACAGGGTCTTCAAGAAATGGAAACAACAGAAAAAAAGTCAGATGACCAGGCAACCTGGCTATTTATCACATTGACCGTGTAGCAAATTAATCAGTCACAGATTAGAATAGTGTTATTCATCAATGTTCTTGCAAGACGATGTTACATGTCCTTTAAGATGATGATGAATCTGAAGTGTTTATCAAACATTGTAAAAGAAGTATTGTATAAATGTCAAACAAGAATAAAACACTGTGCTGCCCGGCTACTCCAATTATCAAAATAAATCACATGAAGAAGAAAAAAATGCTGAGATTATTTTTACAGCGTAATAGGTGCAATATTTACCACATCTCAATAGGAATATGCATAATACAAAATCTGATGTACTTTCTTACTTATAAAACAAAACTAATAAATACAATCATGAATCAATTCATACTACAATAATCTCTTTATAATACAAATCCCAATTACTGTTTCCATCTTGCTACGTATAGATAAGCATTGTTATAATATTCTATGTCTTCACATCATTTTCTGGCAATTTCTCTAATAGCAATGGTGGGAGTTATAATTGGAAGAGCATATGAATTATCCGATTCATCTCAACATGTTATTTCATAGGCATTAACGTTAACTATGAAAACTAAAATCTTCAATAGAAAAAGAAAACAATAAAAAAAGAAAAATGAAGAAAGATCATTTGAAAGCTGCACCACTGACGGTAACTGTATCATAGCTCAATAAAAATGGTATTAGAAGAAGAAGAAAAAAGACTCGATAAACATTTTAAGGGGGAAAAAATAGGTAAAATAAAGCACTATCAAACCTACAACCAGCTTCAAGAGGAATAACTCTAAGAAATTAAAGTGCTAAAGAAAGAAATAAAACATAAAATCAATTAAAAACCATGAAATGAAAAATTATATATAACTTTAAACATTTGAAAAAATTATTTAAAAAACATAAACGTATAACTTGATGTCATACAGAAAAAAAAAGGTTTTAATCCCAAAATTAAATAATCCCTTTTGGATATTAAAGAATAACATATCTCTCCCAAATACAAAAATTGGGATGCAAACCACTGAACCACATTATTTCTAAATTTGACACTACCGGTAATTTTAAATTCTAAATTCCTTAATCTTTAAAACTTCTTCATTACCAAACTCCCCATAGGTATGATCAAAATAATTTCTGAAATAAAAGGTAAAACCAAGGCAAATTTTGCATCAGTCTGGTAACAACCTTTACATCTATCTACCTGTATAACTTGAATGTTTGTTGAAGTTCATTCTCTCCCTTCAGAATAAAAAGGGGCGTTTCATCAAGAGAAGATGAAGAGAAAATGAAGAAAGGAAAGAATGACCGTATGAGAAAATGCATACTAGAGAGATAGAAGAGTATAAATGGTCGGTCATAAAGGTGATTAAAATCAGACAACAATATGAGATGTCTCACACAAGACATCAATATCATAAATATACACATTTTCTAGAAACATAGTAATTAACATGTAAATATTACATGACATGTTAAGTAATTGCACAAACAAGTAATAACTACAAACGTATTTTCTACAAGAAAATCAATTTTTCAAAATGCTTACACTGAAAGGCAGCCAATCAAATTAAGCTTGCAAACTCCAACCGCAAGGTTGACATCAAAACTGCCAGCAAATTAAATAAATATCAAAGTGCTATCGCCTGTCGTATATGCAATATATCTTTCAGCATGCTTTGAATGATGTCAGTTTTAGGTGAAAGTCAACTGAGGCCAGTCAGAGATGCACAAATGCCAAAACAAGTATAAAGTATAATGGCAAACTAATCTAGCTTAAGTCGCCTTAAGCTTTGCCATCTTGCAATGAAACAAGGTCTTAGGGTAACTCATAGTCCAGGGAGCGTCTCACGAAACCGTCATAAGTACAAGTTCACTGACATCCCATTGAAATGCGTGTATTAACTTTAACCCTGGCTCTGGTATGAATGAAAAAGGAAATCCTCAGTTCTTATTTTGCACTGATTTAAAATTAATTCCAATTCCTTCCTGCCACCTTGGGTACACTACCACTCCCACCCCCCCCCCCCAAAAAAAAAAACGGGAATATGTTAACAAGTCATCAGTTCAGGGTCTGTATCTCAAACAGGCTTAACAATATAAAGCAATATAGAATATCAATCTAATAAGAACTATAAGGGCATTTATTTACAAATATGACTTGAGATTTGTATGTTTGTTTTACCCGACTGCTAAAAAAGCATGTGTCGACTTGGGTTTCGAACCCGGGACCTCCTAGTTACGAGACCACTGCTCAACCACTGAGCCATTGCGCCTCTATTAACACCCTCCTGGCTCTCAGGAGAGGATTTAAGACCTCTAATTAGAATAGAGGCATTCTTCTGACTTTCCATGGCATTTATGTAAATTGTTTAATTTAATGATCATCAGAATGTCCACTATCCCACACACATCACATTATAGTGTTAGCACACAGCCCTCTTTTAAAAGTGCAGCCTTCTTTAATACGTAATGCATGTTGAGAGTAAGCAGGATATCAAGATGCAACCTTCTGGCTCTCAGCTGAAAATACCTTGACTATCTTTAATTTATACTAGTCGTTTGCAGGTGATGGTTCTTCTTCTCTTAAAGGCAAAATTATTGAGGTTATGTAAGATTCCATACATATTATTTCAAATTTTAGATTACAAGATACTCTAATTTGTTTTGCAAAAAGGAGGTAGGATCTGTTAAGACTTCTTTGCCCTGTATAGTTCTTATTTCTTATAGCTTTGATAAAACAACATGCAGGGATGCCATGAATGCTCTTTACATGCAGCATGCAGATGCCTTTCAAAGCAGAAAGTTGAAATATCAACTACATTAACTTTCTTTCCCCTACTTTAACAACTACATATTGTACACCACTCTACTTCACATAATTTCAGAGAAACTCTGTTGAATATCAAAATATGTTCTCCTGTATATAAATAATCTTTGTATAAATAGGATCAATGACTACGAGTAATGAAGTAATCCAGCAAAACTTACATAACTTGGTAGAGGTTGAACACACAACACCTATTCAAATTTCTAACAAACATAGAAAGTACAAGTGTATCTCTTCATTGGTTACCGCATCATAATACCGCATCATTAGGAAATCAAACATTGTAGTCTAGATTACAGCGGTTCCATAGCTGGTTAGCTACCATTCAGAGGTATAAAATCCATCTATGAGGATTTACATCTTACATATTAGCATTTTCAATACAGTCATGGATGTTATGATGTAAAGTTTATGCTTCAATCTAGCCATTGTTACAAACATTAAGTAGCATGCATTCATGTTTCAATGATTCTACATCACCTAAAAGTTAAAACAAGTATGTGGCTTCTGTACTTGGCAGTTCAAGGTATTAAAGTTGACAGTCGTGACAACTGCTTTTAAACCGTTGACCGACATTCTTTAACAATCTGCCAAGGTCATCAACAACTGGACATTTCATTTTGAACAAAGAACACCCATAAGAAGTGAGGTCAATTGTAGAAAAATATGACACTAGTACCTCTTCACGAGGATAACTTCAGAAAATATAGTATGCGTTTCTTTCGTAAAAGCAAAATAATTCAATCAACTACATCTTCTTATCCCCTCGTTCATGTGTCGACCGCATCAACAACAAAAGGTTGTCTCATAAAACTTGTAAAAGTATTCTATAACATATTTGCTCACAGCTAATCAAATGCAGTGATTTCAGCAGCTTATATCATTTGTTCCAACTTGTAAGTTCTATGAATCAGGGCCGCGGTAGGGTAAAATAACTTCATGACAGCATGTCAAAATCTCAACATTCTTTACACTTGACAACTTTTCCTAACACCACCCTACCTGCTAAGTACCTTCAATCCCCAGCTAGATAAAACACCAAATCCAGACCATGAAAACAGCACTGCAAAGCTTTGCTATTTTTCTAACTCAAGACAGACTGCATCATCTTTTTTACATAGGACCGTTATGACGAGGAAACCTAGAGGGAAAGATACACCTTCTATTTCACTAGCTCTTTCTGGAATACATGGTACTTTTATGGGAACCGTCGCCTAGCTTCACCTAAATGTCCTCATCCACGTCTACGGACCTGATGACTAATAACAATTACGTCTAGTACCTGTAGGGCTGATGCTATTACCTTAACTCCTCTCCAGCACGCAGCTTGCGAAACACTCTATCATCAAGGCTGACTTTCCTAGCAAGACTGCGGCGAAATGCCACAACTATTCTTCTAGGCAGTGAACAGCTACTTCCATGCTCCAAAGACTATCATATTTGCTGTGCAATCCTGTGGTAGCGCTGGAGCCACTCAAAAGACTATCATATTTGCTGTGCAATCCTGCGGTAGCGCTGAAGCCACTCCTCCGTCATCTGTCCAATGATGACAGGCCGATGTCGGGGATGAACCTGTTGGGCCACAAAGGTACCGCCGGCCGTGTAGCAGCAATCCAGCCATTCGTTCAAGAGTCTCTCCTCAGTACCAACCTTTGGTTAGGGGGTAGGAGTTAGGACAGAAGGATGGAGAAAGAAGGGGAAAGACAGATTAAAATGAGGAATTTTGAAAAGATGTGACTGCTACAGTATGTAAAGCACTTGATAGGGAAATGGATTACAATGCTGAACTTATCATAGAGCACAAGTTTTTGAATTAACCCATTTACTACAGTATAATAAATATCATGTAAGCACATCGTGCAGATATTGTGCAGATTTCATGCAATACTTTCAAAACAATACAGCAAATGAATAGCTTTGTATTTGTCATTACTTCTGTTCTGAAATTTATAAAGAGGGAATAACTTTTCAAGAGTGATTCTCAACATTTATCAATCCATGACAACAACGACAAAATTTGCAAATGCAATGTAACACACACCATCATCAAGGTTGTGCTGTATGAAATCAAAACTCTTTTGATTCTCAACAGAAATATCTTATCTGCATAAAATATAATGACATTCAATCAATCTCAGGATTAAAGGGGAATCCAAGCTTTGTAACTAATTTATTTGTATGAATGCAGAATAATATCAGAAACGGAATGGCGAAAGTTTGAAATAAGACTGGAGAAATGGTAGAAGATTTATGCTTGTTTGAAATGTGAATTTACTAAAGCTTTGCAAGTCTCAAATTGGCAATTTTTTCAGTGGATTGTCACATGGTCATGGACAACTTTCCTGTTGGTCTTGTACAAACATGCCATTAATATCCTTTAATGTCCTAAGTGGTTTCCTTCTCAAACATGTAGGATATATATGTGGGATCATGAACATGAATTTGCGCTCATGATCACGAACATGATCATGTGACACGCGAGAAGAAAAACAACTTGGCCCTACTGCAAAATTAATTTGCTTCAGCTCAAACGCATGCAAATTCTCTGATCTGAAGCCGAGCAAAATTGGTAAGAATCGTTTGAGAGTGCCTACCTCGAGTGGAGTAATGAAGTGGATTGGTAGAAGTTTGCCATCGCTGTCCGTAAGAGGGAGGTATATCGTCTGACTGTTATCGCTGCTGTCCAAGTTGGCGCCTGCACCACGGTTGTCATCGGACCCTGACTCCTGGGAGACCAGGGCAGAGAAGTGGCCCCGAGTGTAAGCCAGGACGATGGGTGACTTGCAGCAGAAGCTAGGCTCCCATAGAAGGGGCAGGTACACACCTGTTTATGTTAGAACAGAAAAGGGTGTTGGAAAGCAAGATAATGATTATATTTTTTTTATTCATTCATTTTTGTTCACAATTGCGGAAATATGCTTTCCACCAGCAATATCAGGCAATACAAAAAATCAAGACAACAAAATAAAGTATGATGGAAATAAACATACAAAAACAACCAAGAAAACTTTTGTTCACAGAACCAACTACTCATAAATGTTATTCACCTTCTTTCCTCATTAAAATATTATTTTGCTACAACTTTTTCTTTCCTACCTTCATTTTCTTGTTCTATTGGTGATCATTGGTCAACTACAAACCAAAATCTCAGACATACCGTCGCTGTTTTCACGAAGTGACGATAGTGGAAAAAATTGCATTCACTTTGCGTTACGATTTTCCTCACTACCGTCACTTCGTGAAAACAAGGACGATACTGTCAAATACAAGCATTGTTATTAACCCTGTAACTTCTGAATTCTCTCATTCCTTAGGTGTAATACAAAAAGACCCGGTTTCCATTGACAATAGGTAAGGAATGTTCAAGAAACCCAAGCTTGGTACTCTCATTGCCTCTACACATATATTCTTTTTTTATTAATATTTAAAATGTTTAACTCTCTGAACATGTGTTGGAAGATTCCATTTATTTAATTGGCATATCGTGAAAAAATGGAAAATAAAAATTTAATTCATCCATGAAAATGCAGAGCTTTCGTAATGAATATACCTTGGAAGCGTGCAAAGCCAAGATTCTCGCCACGGAAGCTCTTGATAAACTTGACCCCATACACAATGATTGGTCTGCGTAGAACATGGGCGAGAGCAAAGATGTGCGTCTGCTCCAGAGCGGCTCCTGGTTGACCGGCAAGACTGAGCATGAGTGACCAATCATTCAACCACTGGTCATCATCCAGGCTGAAGTGCATGCTCTCAACATGCATGGATTCATACGCCTTCCAGCGACTGTAGAACCTGGGGGGGGGGGGGGCAAAGTTGACACATTCCAATCGGGAAAAAATTACTTTAACAATTTCAGGGGCACTTTTCAAGCTTGCTTGCATGAAAATAACAATCTTTAATTTGTTTTGCATTGAACTCTATGCAATATTTGGGGGCTCTTTTAAGATTTTCGGGGGCTCTTTGGGGCATTTGGGGGACTAATTTGCCCCGAGCCCCCATGTATTTTTTTCCCTTGATTCAGATCAAACAGTTTGTGAAGGAATTATCAACATCACTACAAGGTTGCAGAACATCTACTTCCAACAAAACTCTGATACTTTACAAAGAATGAGTGAAAGCAGATGCAATGAACCAACAGTAAGACAAAGAAACATGATGAAAGTGCTTGGGGATATCCCTTCACTACTGCTCTGTTATCTTTAATAAGTTAAACACAGCAGAGCTCCGCACATATGTTTTAGAAGGGGAAGCGGATTTCAAAAAATTACAATCTGTATGCAAAATAAAAATATTTAAAATTGGGGGGTCCAGATTTATTTTAGGGTGCCCATGTTTCCGGGTCGCCTGTTATTGTTAACCCCTGTAAAGAGTATATCATACATATTACAGATTTCTATCTCTATCCATTGAGATGAAGTATGACTGGTCTAAACTTCCATACCTATGTGCTCCTTCATTGAGACTATCCCCTAACGCCCTTCTGAGCACCGAGTCTGTGTCAAAGACACCCCAGGTAGCCTGCAGGACAGAGTCGAGCAGGCAGTCACCGGCGGTACGGTTCCACAGTGCGAAGAGACGGCTCCCCATCGAGTCTGCAACCTCCGTACTCCAGTTGATGATGGGCGACTCCTGCTCCAGCTCTACGATGCAAAAGGGGATAAAAGAATTCAAAATGAAGGGCCTTCGATCTACACATTTCATGCTGCCTGCAGTGTAGCCTTTTGCCTTTTCAGCTTATGATAAAGTTAAATTGATAGACAAGAACCGAGTCTGAAATTTGTATTTCATGTTTAAACTGGTTTTGATTTCATAACAGGATTAAACTTAACAAGAATGTTATAAATGAAAACATATATTCATGATATCGTACTGGTTTTTCCCAATAAATGTACCATTACTCACAGACACAGGACCATACAGATCTGTTTCACAAGAATTGAACAGTTAACTGACCTTTCAACATTTCTTCTCAGGGTTTTTTCAATTCATATAAGAAGTAAAGAAATTTATTTAAAAAATGAAATAAAAACAGATATTTTTTTTTTTAAACCTGAATAACTGTGAAACTGAAAAGAGACTACCACTTGATAATTCCATAACTAGGCGTTGTGGCGTGCGCCTGTAATCCAGCTAAAAAAGTGGAAGTTACAAACTGATTCAGCCGAGGACGCAGGTTCGAAACTGAGTCACGTCTTTCGGATGGTGACGTTTAAAGGTCGGTCCCAGACGTAAATAATCATATCTGATTGATACACGTCTGTAAAAACCCAATACACACACACACACACATGAATAAATTTGTCACATCACCTTTCTGTGCATCTTGATCAAGCAGTTCATCCATTAATTGATTGCGCACCGTATGTGGGAGGTAGTTGATTTCTAGTTTACAACAGAAAAATGGAAATGAGAAGTTAGACACTGCAAAACATGCTGCAGATTATTTCCCTATGCACAGTGTTTAAAGTGTATTACTTTTTTTAATGAAACATACTTTAGTCATGGGTCACCACGAACAAGCACCGGCACACATGGGCGCTCAAAATCTAGATCAGGAACCCGTTTCACAAAACTTGTTATCAGTGACATATGACAGTTTTTGTTATAAGCTACTGAAATCCTTGCTTCTGATTGGTTATCAGCAGATTTGTCATTTGAAGAAAAAAAAAGCTTTGTGAAACACCCTGGACCCCCATATATTGAAGAAAAAAACTCAATAGGACTCATTCATATAGACTCTGAAAATTCTTTCCCCCCTTCCAAAAAGTTAATGTGGAACCCTTCTTTAGTGTACCAAGAACATACTTTCTTTACACAAATTCCATAATAAGTTCAAGAATGATGATTGCATCAGAGGGTTTCATATTGGTGTTCTTAGTAGCACCTTTCATGTTTATACTGTCTGTGTTTCACAATAAAAATCCTGGAATCTTATAACATCCAGAAACGATTCATTTTCTTAAGTACATATCCAGTAACAAAATTAAATTTAGGTGACATCAAAGAAGATGGGCTTACCTCCAGGTAGAATATAAGTTATAATATCTGTAACAAAATAGCATGGAAAGTCTCCTTTTCTCTGTCGAATCGATTTAGCAACCTCCCTTCGTATGTCAGCGGCAAGTTCTGGGCAAACTTGAGATGGTGGACGCTTGACAGCATGGGCACCAATGTCTGTAGAAAGCAGAACAGCAAGTAGATCTTCTTTCCTAAACCGCAGAGCAAGATGGGCAAGGGTAAGACCAACATCAAAAACACCAGATCGGTTGAGGAAGAGGACTTCATCAGCAGTGAGTGTTCGGGTTGGGTTTCCACCTGATGTGAGGTACGTCTCTACAGCTTGATGGTCATCGTCCACCACACCATTACAAGCATTCAGGAAAAGCCAGTCAGACTTCCTCAATCTCCTCCGGATAAGCTTGACATGTTTCTCCTGATCTACATTGATGGTACCATGGCCAGGTGTTGAGGTCGCTCCAATGACAGGCACTTTAACTGTAGAAATAGTTGGCCCTGGACTTCGAGGTGGAGAACTGGTGGGAGATGAGCGGCTTGATGCGCCGGAATTCCTCAGGTTTTCCTCAATCAAAGTGCTCCCTGCTCCAACACTTGGGTCTGGACTCTGCTTCTGGCGAGTACAACTACATAAAGCGCAGTGCTTAGTTTTGGGCCAGTTCTCATAAGTGCACGTAGAGCATACCCACTTTTTTGTACTATTGCATATGGTTCGATTGCGGTCGTTGTTGACATTCTGCTGACCCACAGTCGGTCGGACAGTCTTAAGCCGTGGCTGACCACGACCTTTGCTGTTATCTCCAGGTGGACCAGTCCCCTTTGCATGGTGGCACAGAGCGCATTTGGCTGCCTGCGGCCAATTCAAATAAGTACACGCCTTGCATGGCCACTTGGGGGAACTACTATCTGATTCTGGCAGGATAAGGCGTCTAGGACTGCTATCGCTCTGCTCCTCCTGCTCGACAAGGGAAGTGGAGGAACTGTCCTGTGTCGGTGATGTGATGAGTTGTACAGGCTTTGGTGCGTGACACAAGGTGCATTTGATAGAGCTGTACCAGTTGTGATAGGTGCAGTATTCGCAGGTCCATTTTGGGTGACTCTCGGTCATCCTGCACCTTGGGTCAACTGTCTTCGGTCAGGAATCTCCTGTCAATGGAAAAAGGACACATCCTATATTAAATGTGAATTGCATTAATGAGTTTAAACAAGGAAGTCTTAGTCAAATATGACAAGGGTGATAGTGAGCACTTTAAAAAAAAAAAAAAAATCTTCCTCAACCATACGAATTTTGTTGGACAATCTTGTAAAGGATAAACAGAAGGGGCGCTGGTCCGAGAATGAGGATCGTCCGCATAAACAAGGATATTCTCATAACCGCGGACAAATAGCGTTCTAAAAAATATGGATCGTCTGCATTTTCGCGAACGTTTATTTTCATCGGCGCTCGCTGACAATGCGAAAAACAGAATCAGTGTAAAAAAAAAATAACTCCAGTTCACCATCTACTTTTATAGGTTGTCTGTCTTGCCAAGGAATTATCGCTCGCAACGTGAAAGTCATTGTACAAAGTCAATGTAAAATGCATCGAGAAAATCATTGCGGGATTGTTTTCATAAACGCGGACGGATGCGTCCGCAAAATGAGGATCATCCACATTTTCGCAGGCGCATCCGTCCACATTTACGAAAACGATCCTTGTTTATGCAGACGATCCTTATTCTCGGACCAGCGCCCCTACTGATTAAATGGTTAGGCCTAATCTAGGCTAGATCTAGATCTATACTTAGTTAGTCTACTGCTTTTTCTATTTGATGCATGAAATTCAATGGTAAAAGACAATCCTTCAAATTGTGAAAGCATCCAGACACATAATACACAGGCTACCCAACACACAACTCGCATCAATCATATTACCAGGCACAATCACAACAGTGAACAGTTTACAGTGGAGCGACAACACACCGACGTCGACTCACTTCATCCAGACTCTATCTAAACCAGTCACTACTTCACGGCATAAGACACCATCTGATAGGATTTAATGATAAATTTTCGGAATATAACATTCATATTATGTGAATAACATCTTGGTAAATTCATACAAATTATTTACCTGTTTATGAGCCCAAAATCCCGAATTTCATTAAATAGTCGGGCACTCATTATTCTTCTGTGTTTTCCTTTGAACGTTGCCAATTTAAGTTAAAGTTACTGAGAAGATACGGACGGACGTATGTTGCAACACATATCAAAGATTATGTCAAATTTTCAATAAAAAATATTATATTTGAACATTAAAATATCGTGAGTGTGTTTTGCAAATTAAAATTCTGATGCTACCGTTTAAAAAATATGAATAAAAAATAGTCACGACGTCAAATTGTTGATGTTTTGTGTTGATGACCTTGAAACCTTACCCATTTTCAAATACAACCCAAGTCGGTGGAGAGTAGCTTTTGTGAGTGTAAGTGGAATCAATATCAAGGGGCCGTTTCTCGTTTCTCGAAACGGCCAAGGGCGGATATATACGGGGCCCGGGGGTATAGGATGTTTAACCCCCCCCCCCCCCTTGGGCTGCTAAGTGAAAATGTGATGTGCATAGGCTCGTGGATGGAAAAAAATTACAAAATATATATATTTATAAATTCAAATGGCGGGGGCAAAATAAAATACTTTTTCAGTGCTCACTACCCCCCCCCCCCCCCACTGAGCGCGAAATATTTTCTGGACCCTGCAGAGTGAGTGCAGCTAGCTAGCTAGTGAAGAGCAACGGATCTACACCGCGAAGTACCCCCAGCCGCCCCCCCCCCCCCGCCCTTTGGCTCCATCGATCGCCTTCCATTACTGGGTACAAACAGGACAGGCCTACCACTTACTACACAAAGTTGCTGTGATTTTTTGAAACTGTATGGCTGTTTTTGATGACTGCAAAATTAAGGGCACTGCTTTTAATTGTAATAGCTATAACGCGACATATAACGTAATTATACCAAAGAACAATTATAACGAAGGAAAAGGGACATTTCTCAAAAGTATTTAAACAAGGGGAACTTAAGAATTACTGATCAAAGTTGAACAGACAGGGTAAGAAGGTAAATTGACACTCATTAGTAGGAAATCTTCTTTTTGTTTACTTTTTAAAATAATTTTTACTCCCTCTTTGGGCTGATATTTCTCAGTTCAAGTTGAATGCTTTAATACTTTTTTTCTCCTAAAAAACGGTTTTAAAAAAAATTATTAAAAGCTGACCGTAGATTTTAAGATTTTGGGGTCGGTCGCAAAGGGCTAGCATCTTTTTTTTTTTTTTTAGGCCTCATCAGACATGCATGAAAAAAGGCATCGTTTTAGAACGGGAGAATGCATGCACTTATCTTTTACAAAAGAAATGAGAGCTATGCTATGCACTAAACTAAAGTAAAAAGAGCATCTATCAAATGTGGATAGGAACTTATCAGAGGTGAAAAGGGAGCATTTAGACAGGAACATTTTTTACCAAAAAAATGGGCACTTATTATAAATGAAATAGGGGCACCTCTTCCATCATATTTGTGTGCCTTGCTCTTTGTGCTATCAATATAGATTAATTGATAAAGGCCTTCACAGCCTTCCTAATTAAAGTAGACTATCATGGTTATAATGCTCGCGTTCCCTTTGAAAAATATTCTGCCAACATTTCATCCACTGATCGACCTGCAAAACTTTATTATTTACATAAAACCTGGGGCAAGTTTTCCTTTCCATCCTCCGCGAAGCGCGAAAGCTTTAACATTTCAATAAATTATTAGAGAAAGAAGACAATTCGTTGTACCGTTCCCCAAAATATTCCTCGTCTGAATTATGTCCCCCCCCCCCCCCTTCCGCGCGCGAAACGCGGAAGCTTTTACGTTTCATCAAATCATTATCGAAATAAGACGATTCGTTGTACCGTTATGACTTTTAATCCTCGTCTAAATTCAGTTTCCCCCCTCCCGCGTGAAGCGCGAAAGCTTCGACGTTTCATTAAATCATTGGCGAAAGAAGACGATTCGTTGTAACGTTAAGACTTTTAATCCTCGTCTAAATTCAGTTCCCCCCCCCCCCCTCCCACGCGAAGCGCGGAAGCTTTTATGTTTCATTAAATCATTAGAGAAAGAATACGATTCGTTGTACCGTTCTCGACTCTTAATCGTTGTCTGAATTTCAAAAATGTTCTTTGTCTATTATATTCCCTTTTCTTCCTACGTCCTCTTCCTTTTTACTCCTCTCTTTTTTTTGGCTGGCGTTTTTTGGGGGACCACCCCACCTGATCTCCCTTTCTTTTCTCTCTTGTCTTTTCTTCTTCCTTTTTTTGTTTTTTTTTGGTTTCTTTTAGCTCTCCTCTTTTCCTTTCCTTCCTTTTCTCTTTTTTGTTTTACCGGGACGGGGGGGGGGGGGGGGGGCAAGGGCCTTTTGCCCCCCACCCGATCCACAACTTGTTGACGGGAAAATTGCAATTGATATCCCCTTTTCTTTTCTTCTTTTTCTTTTTTCCTTCCCTTTATCTCCTCTATTCCTTTTTTTCTTTCCCTTTCATTCCTTCTCTTTTATTTTTTGATTGGAAGAGGGGGGAGGCAACAGCCTGGGAGGCAAGTCTTTTTGCCCCCCCCCCCCGATCCCATTCTTCCCTCTTTTCTTTCCTTCTTCCTCTTTTTTCCCCCCTTTCTCTCCTCTTTCCCTTTCCCTTCTTTTCCTTCTCTCTCTCTCCTTTTTTTTGCGGGGGGGGGGGGGGGGGGGGGGGGGGGGTAGGGGGGGGGGTAAGGCTCGCTAGGCCCCCAGGCCCCCCTGGATCCGCGCCTGGATATACAAATACTATTTTAAACACATTTACTTTGACCACGTACATACCGGTTTCAATTTTGTTTCTGCACTTGATTTAGTTTCCTTTTCAGGAACTGTACCGCATAGAGCTGTATATATAACAACTCTATGCTTTACCCTCATCTAGATGCAGGTGTTGATATGAGTATCACCATAGAAGTAGAAGAAAAGTCTATATTCTCCTAGTCTATAAATAACTAAATTAAAATTAAAAATTTATTCATTATATTAAATCCACACCAAACGAAGGATTTTTTTCACGGAGGGGCCGTCCCGGTACGTGTTTCAAAATTTGGAAAATCGCGCCGAATGATATTTCGCTCTATAGGGGGGGGGGGGAAGTATTCATTTTTTTCAACAACAAAAATGAGGGGGGGTTAACCCTCAAAACACCCCCCCCCCCCCCCCCCTCCCCCCGTACGCGCCTGATCCACACAGATAGGATCATGCTCAAATTTTCAAAATTATATTGTAACATAGATATAAATTGAGTGGCATTGAGTGCAGAAGTCAAACATTACAATCACCACGAATGCCCCAAAATCAACGTAGATCTAGGCCTACTAGGCCTACGTGTAAGTCTCTTCTTTGATCGGTCCCCGAACCCCTAACTCGGCCTCGATCGCGACTCCCCGCAAGCTATGTCGGAAATTAAAATCCATCCTCGACCTACTCCCTCAAGGTGTCAAGCGTGCGAGAATTCAGGTTGGTGATTACTCTATTATTATTGTGTGTAATCGGTTTGTTATCTTGTTCTGACATGTTTGAAGTTATATAGACTAATTACATCTCTCCTATGATGATGATACTCCAATCATTATACTTTCATCGGGGTTTCATTTGAAATAAAACAAATCTTGTGTTCTTGACTTGACTAACACGATTTCGTACGTGTGGGACTGGAGTTGAAGGGATTTTTTTTTCTTCACACAATCGGACGAACGCGAACAAGCGCACCGCGCCGTATCGTAGACTATGCAATTCTTTTTGCTCAAGGGGTGGGGGGTAGGGGTAATGAGCACTAAAAATAAATTCTGTTTGCGTCCCCAAAAATAAGAATCATCCGCATTTATTTTTGCTGTGCCTGTCCTGTGGCTGAGCTGTGGGGTTTTTTTCATCGGCGCTCTGCGGGTTTCGGGTTCCCGATTGCGTGCTGGCGATGCGAAAACGTATTCTCCGTAATAGATCTAGGGTAGCGCGCCCAGTATTCGGTCGATTCCCAGTATTCGGTCAGACAGCCGTTTCAACAGCTGTAACAATTTAAAAAATAATTTATGAGCCACGAAACTTGCACAAATCAGGCAGCTGAACAACTTTTCTTAACTCTCAAAATTAAATCAGATTTAGGGCCCCGAAAGATCTCCAACTTAGCTCGAAATTGGTCAGTGTCGCACAACTTTCCGCACTTTCGCGTTCTCTTAGCACATGCGCTAACGTGCATAGCCATATGTAGAAGTCTATTGCGAAACAACTACGTGTGCTGTCACAATGAATTTAGTATGTGTGTGAAGAGAATCACTTCCGTGTTCGCTCCGTCGCAGCGAATTTGCAAATGACGCACTTGCCGATGTGCAAGAGGTATTTATACGATACCCTTGCCATGCGGTATCGCTCTCAGCCAGTATTCGGTAAACGCATTGACATTCAGTGCTTTATCGCGCAATTGTGTGAAAATAGTGCGCAAATACGCTACGCTCCTTTGCAACGGAGATACCACGCACAAATCGCGTGACCGAATTCTAGTCGGCGCGACCGAATTCTGGGCATAAAAATGCTACGTCTTCTTTCGGAAGTCTTTTGCTTATCGTTATTTTATATTTTCAGTGACTATAAAATCCTGTTAGAGGAATAAATTTCTTTTCTTTTGATGGGTAGATTGCCCAATGAAAGAGGTAAGAATTCAAAATATTAGTGATTTCCCTTAAGTGACCGAATACTGGGTACTCTACCCTACTCCCAGTTCACTCTTTATCATGGGTTGTTTGTCTTCCCGAGAATTTATCGCTCGTAAGTCGTAACATCTCTGAGGAGACTGAGCTGTACAAAGTGAAAGTCGATGTGAAAATAAAAAGCATAGACTCTAGACTATGAGTATGAAAAAAAATTATGAATATGATCCAGAGCTACCAAGACCAAGCGTCACCCATTTCAAGGGTCTGCAAACGGTATTGTCATTTGAAGAAAAAAAACGATATACCCTCGCCCACGCCCTCGCACGCCGAGTCATGAAAATGTCACGCATAGCTGATCTTTGAACTTGCCGTCTCTGAAGATCAAGACAATCCTTGTGGAATCCGTTTTTTGCATCGCCAATGCGCTGATCAGAAATACGAAATGTCTGCTAAAATGCAGACGCCGCTGTCTGCGTTAACGAAGACGGCCCCCGTTCATGCGGACGATCCTTATTCAGAGTCTACGATACGGTAAGGGTGACGGTTCTTCTCATCCTAACCTGACGATTCATCCATGTTGAGCGAAGGAAAGTATGCATGCGCGGTAGCGGCGGAGCAAATATGACTATTCATATTATAGAGCAGGTTCGCTCGAAATTGCTGAATATGCATGAATTGAAGAGAGTGAGACAGGGCCCTTCTCGACCTCTTGCATATTCACAATGTACACACTGAGTTTCCTTCGCGAGATTATGGCGGAGTCCGTGTCATGCCCTCTATAAACCCAAGCTTGAACTTCTTTAAGGTCTTGTTTTCGTAATGACTTTTTCAGTACAGTTCTTTGAAAGTACTTTGTAATTCTTCTGCTTATATTCTTTTTTGTTGGATACTCCCAAGTCTCAACCCAAAGCAATGAAGTCTGTGATCGAGACAGGAGCTTGAAATGCAAAGAAATGAGACAGAGACAATCATGGCTTGTACAGTGCAGTTCAGTATCAAAGTGACAAGTGGGAATTAACTAAAGATAAAAGAAATCTCTATTATTTCTAGAGTAGACCTATATAAACTTACAAACAAAAAATTACAGTCAGAAGTTTTTGAAAAGAAGAATTTAAAAGATTGCTCTGACACTTATAGAGCCAAAGTTCTTTTTTGTGTTTAGATTTGACTATGTAGACTGTCACTGATTGTCTCTGTCTCATTTGATTTGCTATGACAGGTTCTTGGTCAAGACTTGGGTGTGACTGAAGATCAGCATTGTCATCATGGGCCTGTTAACAGACACTCGAACACAGGCGGTCATGTCCCGTGTTATTCTGGCCATCCACAAGCCTCTGGAGGTCCTTCTGTACATTGCTGGTGTGGCCTCACTGCTAGTGTTAGCATTCACCCCTCTCAATGAAAAGACATACTTCTCTGAAAATGCCCTCTTACCAGGCTTGGTGGAGAGGAAGTATCTGAATGATCAAAGTGTCAAGGATTACGCCAAGGAACTGACCCGACTGGGAGCTGCGGACAACGGGAAAGGTCCTATCCCTGAAGATTGGCTGAAAGCTCAATTTATGGACTTGGGCTTAGATGTGTTTTCACAAAACTTCACTGTGCAGCACCCCTTTAACGTTAAAGCAAAAGGAACTCAAGAGAGTGGAGCTGTCTCCGGAACCAATGTCTATGCTATCCTCAGAGCCCCTAGAATTGCAAGTACCGAAGCGATAGTCATCACAGTACCATATCGCAATAAAGAGGCTGAAGCAGGCAGGGCAAGGACACACTATGGAATTGGCCTGATGCTGTCATTAGCCAGCTTCTTTAGCAAAAACACATTTTGGTCAAAGGACATCATCTTTGTGGTCGTGGACAAAGAAGAGGTCGGGATGCAGGCCTGGTTAGCTGGCTACCATGATAGTCATTCAGAATATCTCCCAACAAGCCTCATGCTAGGGCGCAGTGGATCAATCATCGCTGCCATCAATTTGGAGCTCGGCTCTGAGTTTACTGATCACATTGATTTGAAGATTGAAGGTGTTAATGGACAGTTGCCAAACATGGATCTGTTCAATCTGGCTGTCAGGTTATGTCGTGTAGAGAGGGTTCCTGTCACTTTCCAAAACAGATTTGATCCTTCAGAAAGAATTGTTGTCAAGTGGGCGGGACTACAGCATTCGGCCACAACCATGCTACTCAACATGGCTAAGCAAGCCAGCGGAAAGCCAAGCGGAATCCATGGTCTGTTCCTGCGCTACCACATAGAAGCCCTGACTCTCCAGGCCCATCCTGCAAAGCGTGGGTCCGGAGTAGAAGCAGTTGGGCGTGTCATGGAAGGCGTGGTCCGCAGTGTAAACAACCTGTTGGAGCGGTTTCACCAGTCTTTCTTCTTTTATGTACTCCCTAGCTGTGAAAGATATGTCTCAATCGGTCTATACATGATTCCTTTCGGCCTCTTGTTGGTTGTACCTACACTGCGTGGTATGGCCCTCTGGCTTCTTGCAATGCAATCCGTTGAAAAGATGGACACTTCTTCAGACGAGAAAGATAATGATGAGAAAGAGGACGGTGATAAAAAGAAAAAACTGGAGCTAGAGCAGCAAGGTCGTCCTTTTGGTCAAGTCATGCCTCTCATCATTGGTGCACACATCATGGGAGCCATACTGTTCATAAGCCCACAATATCTTGTCAGTGAGCACATCGCATCCTTCAATGTAACCCCGCAAGGTGCCATTGCTATAGGTTTTGCAGCCTTCTTCGTTGGATCAGCGTCCCTCCCTATCTTTGGTAGGAGGAATAATTTTCAAACGAGCGAGGATTTACCTTCGGACTGGCAGCTCTTGAAGTGTCTCACGCTCATCTGGTACACAGTTACACTCCTGGCTGTGTCTATGTTTAACTTTTCTCTGGCTTTCTTTGTTGCTGTGCCAACAATTCCCATCGCCGTCATTGTTCAACCAGCCGAGCAATCAGTTTTGAAAATAATACAGGGATTTCTCCTTCTTATGATATCTCCCCTATCTTTGCTCTATTCTTTCATAACTGTTCACCATGGATTCTTTAACCCTGGAGATGCCATGGTAGACATTCTTACCCAGGGGTTGCATAAGACTGTAGATTCCTTGTTTGAAGGTGTGGTCAATGCCTACTTGTATGGCAACAAATCTTTTGCCTTGATAACGTTAGTATGGTTTCCTGTTTGGTTTCTCTTGTGGGCAGTGCTTTTCAGGAAAGCAAGTGGCAAAAAGGTTTCATCATGATTTGTAGCTGAATATGTCTTGAGTGAGCTTTTCAAAGTACCCTAAACAACTTTGTTGCAGGAAAAAAATGGAAATTCAAATGTTTTCATGTCTTATGTAAAACAGAAACATGTTAGAAATTATGTTAGAATTATTTTCTATTCCCTTTTCACATTCCTGAAATAATAAAAAATGCATAAAATGTAATTTTTTCAAGCAAACTTATTTGTGGATGCCAATGGCCTACACCCACACATAATACACATGCTCAATGAATTATTTTACTTTTGGGAAGTATATTTTGATTTTTTTTTTTGTTGTTAAGATCCATATTTATGTTACCTTGTATATAATGCAGAAATATTGGGTGGGATAAGGCAATGATTCTTTTAGTGGTAGTTTTGTATATTTTTGTGATAATGCATGTACAGTGTACATGTACTTGTATATCATGATGAAATTTACAAGCAAATATCATGTAGTCTTATGAAATGTACACTAAAATAATGTGTAAACAAACTAAGTGGAATCTAGATAAAGCTTGGCCTGTGATGTACAAAGATTTAAACTACTTGTAGAAAATATCAGTAATGAAAATGGTTTTGTTTAACATTAAAAAAAAGTGATTTACCTTTTAGGCCAATATTGCCATAGATAATTTTCATAAAGTTCTTATTTCAATGATTGTTGTAACATAATATCTTTTGAATTTTCTTCAACTTATATGATTTAATTTTCCCCAATTGTAGTTTGGGCAAATTTATTTCTTTCACTCTCATTGCACAAATGAAACCTCTATTTGTACAAAAAGCATACTGATCTTTTTTAGTCTTGCTTAAAGGTTGGATGACATCCAAATATAAGTTGATTCATGTTGATGTGCAGGGCTGCATACAACTCATATTTTGTTATTAAAACATCTAAATATATTTCATAGATTTTTGGATATTTTTTTTAATAATTTTCTTAGACCTGCCAAGCTTCACCCTAAAAAAATGCTCCAGATCTCATTCATCTTGTGATGTCATCTGTTAATCAAAAGTGAATTGACAAGAGACAGTGGTACAAATCTGCCAACCAGTACGATTTAGTCGCATCTCACATCTGCAGTTTGGGGATGTTCATTGGAACACACCAGTCATACATATTCAACCAATGATCCATACAAAAATTTCTTCCTGTATGTAGGAACTATAAAATGCGTTCATCCGCGTAACAGTCCGTGTTTATTTTTAAGAATATAAATTTTTTCAGTAAAATACAATTTGGGGGATTAAAGAATACAGTTTTTGAACTCCAGAGGTTGGCAGGTCTGGTGGTATGTAACTTCCCAGCTCAGCACATGCTCACAAAAGAATTGCACTCTTTCATACAATATTACCTCAATTACCTTACTTTTCCTGGTGATGCTACAGCACGTCTGACATAGCAACTTTTAGGTTTTTTTTTATGGGCTATTGTTAACATTTGGTCGACTCTGGTGAAGCTACATATAGTGTTCACAATATTTGCTAAATTGCATTGTATAATGAAAAATATGTTACCTTGTATTTTTGCTGTCAAATGATCAACCATTCCTTATATGTATACTTTTTGAAAAGTATGCAACAGCAAATCTTCACCACAACTGGTATCTGTATGGTATTCTTGTTATTTGTTGTTGTTGGTATCAATGCCATGTCTGTCCATCATGTGAAATAAAGTTCAATTCTAAGCCACCAAATACATGGTTTTTCAATCATTTCTTTTCAATTTTAGAAAGTTGTGATTCAAAATCCAAAGCAGTTTTGACGAACTGCCTTGACATAGCAAATACAGAACACGTAGCAGTAAAATAAGTCTTCACATCCAACAATCCACTGCCACTACATAATACATTACTGTATACTCTTTCTTCTTGATTTTGAGTAAGTCTTGGCCCATTAGCGTTCCATCAACCCATGAAATTATACATTTACAATGCACATACAATATACAAAGGAGCCAATTATCCATATTTCTAGGTTTATTTGTATTCATCATTGAACAAAAACAAGAATAAACAACATAAAGCAATAAACCCCCCCCCCCTAAATAAAACAAATAAATAAGTATTACTTGGAATACTCTTTGTGACGCAGCTGCCGGTCGTATAAAAGGTTAAGTCTACTCCAAAAATAATTTGCCTTTAATAGATGCAGAAAAACAAGAGAAACAGAGCAAAAAAAGTCGAGTAAAATTGGATGACTAACGAAGTATGCAGAAATGTGGAATTTAAAAAATCACTACACAAATTGCCAATTTGGTTATCAGACTGTGACGTCATTGCCTCACTATTTTTCAATTGCTTTATATTTTTATTCCCCAAAACTCGATTTCCCCATGCCTTTGCCCATGATATATGATTTGTATCAAATTGCATGCATGATATTTCCCTAAATCTTTTGAGAACTTTGAAGAATTGATACTATTTTCTGAATATTGTATATTCATAATTATTGATTTCTATAATCAATAGCTTATCAAAATCAATATCAATATTAAGAAAGCAATTAGTGGAGGGTGAAGCAATGACGTCAAAATCTCATGAATGAGTTGCTAAAATGTCTTGTGATTTTCAAAGTTTTTCATGTCATTAAAAATTCATAACATTCTATTAGACATCTGATGTTGCTCAATTTGTTTTTGCGGTGCCAGGTAAAAATGTCAGAGGAAAAAATGTCAGAGGTAAAAATGTCAGAGGTAAAAATGTCAGAGGTAAAAATGTCAGAGGTAAAAATGTCAGAGGTAAAAATGTCAGAGGTAAAAATGTCAGAGGTAAAAATGTCAGAGGTAAAAATGTCAGGGGTAAAAATGTCAGAGGAAAAAATGTCAGAGGTAAAAATGTCAGAGGTAAAAATGTCAGAGGTAAAAATGTCAGGGGTAAAAATGTCATATGTAAAAATGTCATAGGTAAAAATGTCAGAGGTAAAAATGTCAGAGGAAAAAATGTTAAAGGTAAAAATGTCAGAGATACAAAGAAAATGTCAGGTACAAAAAAAAATGTAGGGGGAAAAATTGGTGCCATCATTATATCTCGGCACTTTATCACACAAAATGTCAAGATGTAAGCTACTGGGCTTGTCTCTTATATTTTATAAATGACTGTGTATTGTACTTCGTACATGTCCTGAGGATAATACAATATGGAAAATAAATTTGAAACTTATATTTTGTGATCAGGTTTGCATATATTAATTTCTATTATTTTTCGATATTTTATATTGGTTGATGTTTTAATGTTTATTTGGTTTTGAGGAAGTAGGCCATGAAATATACATAGAATATTAAGATTGAATGAGATACAACAGGGAATCAGTTATAAAGATCGCTCAGAAATTCCACAAATTCAGAAATTAGACCCATCTTCATGTCCATCCCAGCAAAGACTGTTGTGACAAGAAAACGTTAATAAAAAGACACGGACGCTTTGTCCCCCCTCATCAATACTTTATTACAAAAGTTTAACAATGTTAAATATTGTCAGATAGTAGGCCTACAAGTGGTAAACGTTGAGACATATCTACCCAGGTATTTTGTCATGTGCTTTCGAGTTTCGTCCATAACACTGCAACTTTATATTTAAAAATTACGACTAAGAAACGTGGGAGAAATACAGTATAAGTACCTCAACTTCAACCGTTTTTGTTCTGCAAAATTCATGATGCATTTTGTTTAATGTGTAGACTTGTACGAATATGTACCTGCTGGAAACTGTCGTATACAGTGTATGCCAGCACACCTTGTATAAATCCTGCACCAAATATCGTTCAAACAATATTACCATGTATACAAGCAGTATCATGATCAGGGGCGTCAATCCTGGGGGGGGGGGGGACGGGGGGACACGTCCCCCCTCCCCACGAATGTTCAGGTGGTGAAATGTACCCCCCATGTTTTGTCAGAATAGAAGTTCTTTAATAATTTAATGTAACGTCAAAGCTTCCGCGCGGGAGGGTGGGGGGGGGGGGGGAGAACTGAATTCAAACAAGGATTAAGAGTCGAGAACGGTATACAACGAATCGTCTTCTTTCTCTCAAAATGTATTGAAACGTCAAAGATAAAAAAAAGGCAATGAATGAACCGGTCACCAATGAAATTACATGCCGTGAAACAGAATAACTAGAGAAAGAGTGTGTGTGTAGCAACATAACGTGGTATAATTTTGAAAGTAACTGTAAAGGTGACATGTAATTGTGTCCCCCCCCCCCCATGCTCTAACTCGGATTGACGCCCTTGATCATGATGCTACAAATGTGTACAGTAAAACTATGTTTCTGATATGTTACTCATGAATAAATATTTGTCAATTTCAGTGTTTGATCTCTCACATCAAATAATTATAGAACGATGTAGCTTAAACAGAACCTCTGCAGAGCGCGCGCTTATCTGGAATATGATGGTGCGGTTAGCATTTGATGTAACATTGGCGGCTTTCTGTTTTGTATCAGAGTATCAAGCTGCTTATTGATGTTCTCCCAGACTATTTATACCGCAATAGTGATCGACGATCAACTCTTTGCAAAGCGCGCACTCTCTGGAATGTGATGGTGCGGTTAGCATTTGATACATGGGCGGCTTTCTGCTTTGTATCAAGGTATCAAAGTATCAAGCACACAAAAAAGTGAAATTGTTGGAAATATTCATTTGTAGGAAATTACATTTTATAATAGTCATTGCCACATTTTAAAATGTCCATCAATCTTCAGAAGGGACGGTGAAGTGGGGGGGGGGGGGGGGGGGGGGGGGGGGGGGGGGGGGGACTCACGGCGTGATATGTTATCTTCTTCTTTCTTTTTTTTGGGGGGGGGGGGGGCTGTGATGACTTTTCTTTTTATTTAGTGATTACACCATCGAGCCACAACTCGGCCTATAATTGTTCATGGCCAAACTACTCGATTTTAGACATTTTTTTTCCAGAAGTTTGCTCAGTGTACCAGTATCATTTGCTTAGACAAAGGCATATGAGGGGGAGGCAGCCGGGTCATTACGAAGGATGCACC